GGGACTCCGGTACTTCTAGGATAGCTCCTAACTCCTCCCCGGGAGGGAATGAAGCTTCCGGATCTCGGTTTTCTTTATCGTCGGTATCTAAGCAAGATTTATTAATCGTTTCTTCTTCTAACTAGGATTTCGCATCTTCTCGTACGAGTCGCCTAATCTAAGGGAAGAATCCTACTTCTACTTTAGCAGAATAATGAATTTGGCACTAGTCGTCGTAATAGAATCTCTAGTAAAGGGCTCTATATACGGGTTCTTGTCGTCGTACTATTATACAGATTTGTCGTAGCTCTTCCTTTACGACCTCTGCGTAGGTCCTCGGCGCGTTATTAATAGAGTATAGCTCTACTACTATTCGGTAGCCTTCTCTACCCGAGTCCTTTCGTTGCATTATATTAAACTGTTCGCGTCGCACTATATTCTTACCGCGGTAGTTCCGTACTATATAGCCTTCCTTGCTATATATATAGCAAGTTAGTCTTCCTGCTTTCTTAAGCGAACTCTTGCCTTTTCTTCCTTTAATTACTCGACCCTTCTAGGTAGCGTCTAGCTCTATTAGTTACGCACCGTAGTAGTTGTTCCCTTTTGGTTTATCGTAGGTACTATAGTTTCGTCTATTATTGTATCTAGGAGTATAACTAGCTTTTCTAGAAGTCTTAGAATCGTAACGTCGTTCTAAAGCTCGTTCGTAGAGCCTATCGTCGAGATCGATCGTAACCTTAACCAATGTTCCTATATTATCTATTTTTCTACCGTCGCGTATAAGCTCGTCTTTAACGTTGTCCTTAAGACCTCGCCGATATATTGTTATAAGAGCTTCGTCGTCCCAATCCGTAAGTTAGGCGTATTCCTAAAATTTAGCGGCGTAATCGGCATATAACCCCTTCTAAGTTAAATGTTAGATAATCCTAACTACGGTAGCAACTTCGTTAGAAGATCTAAAGACCTTCTTTATCGTACGCTTAAGATTTTCGTAGCTTGCGAAGATTCCATCCGAATTGTCGGTCCCGTTGCTATCTAGATAGGTCCTAAGAAATAGTTTAACCTAATACTAAGCCCTGCCTCGCATAAACGTCGTTACGAAGACTAGCTTTAAGTTATCTTAAACCTAGTTAAACATAAAATACATATCTATCTAGCTAACCTAGGTATCGAACTTGTCTCGGTCGCTGTAATAAAAGTCTAGCTTTCCGATCTTAAGAGAATCGTTTCCGGTATAGGTTCCGAGTATATTGCTAGCACTAGAGGTAGTACGTCGAGTACTGCCTGTCTCGCTAGGGGCGGGAGTTCCCCTTCCGACTTGTAATAAGGCACTTATCCTAAGGGCGTTTAAAGTGTTACGGTTACTCGCGACAGATCGTTAAGTAACTTCTTATTACGTATAAGCCGAGGCTTCTTTAGAGAGGCTAATACAAGCGGGAGGCAGAGACAGAATAATTGGTACAAAGGTAATTCCAATTAGTAAGTAGGTAATATAAGTTGAACGCCTCGAGCTATAAGGGCATTCCGGCGTTCCTAAATACAAAGGAGACATCTTGTCTGTAGTCGTAAGCGACGTAAGCGACGCTGTCGCTCTCGACCGCTCCTGTCGCTCCTAGTAAGATAGAGCGACAGCTTAGCCTACTAGTCTTGGCGTCGCTCTAAGATTATATAAGGACTCTGACCAATCAGATCCGTAACATTACCCTCTTAGATTACGCTAAAATTGGCCCTTCTTATATAACTTACATATTTCCAACTATGCCGTCCGTTACGTAGAGGTCGCTCCTACTAATAAGCGACCCTCGTAGTATATACGAAGCTCCTCGATCTAGTATTTATTAATAAGGACGCTTCTATAGCAATATAGGTCGGCTTGCTAGCGGACACCTCCGGGGACCTAAAAATGCCGTACTTTGCCCTTAGAGATGTCTAGTAGTATTTCGAAAGCGAGGTTAGTATATTTAAAGTACTCGGCGATAGATTTAGCGTCGTTAACGATACGTCTAATGCTATTTAGACCTGTTTAGAAGGAATAAAGGTCGGAAACTAAGAGCTACGTAAAATAGGATATATATCCTAATCGGATTAGCCCTAGATACTGCCGGACGCACTAAGACTTATTAGCGCTTATCTATTAGTAGATCGGGACTTTCCGCGAGAGGCAATTGCTAACCTTAGATCTTCGAAATATACCTCTTCTATTGCCGCCTTTATTACTAACGTATTATTAGTAACTATACCGACTACCTTGCCCGCCGGAAAGTTATTAATAACCTCGAGAAGGCCTTTAGCGTAATTACGAGTATCGCTCCTATTAGCGCTAGTAAGCTTAGACTTTAGAAACTATAACGCTCGAGGCGTAACAGCTAAATAATTAACGACCGAGCGATAAGCGCGATTAGACTAGCTATTAGTTACAATATATAGGCGCGTGCTCTTATTAACCTTAGTTATTATCTCGGTATACAGCTTCTTATAGATACGGGGCAACTATATATATCGAAGCTGCTAGCGAGTTAGTAGTTTAAAGGCTAGTCGCAGCCTCTTTAACTATCTTAAGAACGCTAGATACTTAGTCGCGCTTAGTAGACTACTAGAGGCAAACACCTACTTAGTAACTAACTCGTAGAGCAACTTGTGCTCCTTTAGCGTTATCTTATCGACGAAGCCTAACATACCGACAAGAACGACCTTCTTACGTACCGGACGAGCGATTTCCTCGACATCTTAGTCCTTAGCTAAACTAGCTAGTTTAGCTAGTTTAGCTAGCACTAGCGACTCCGTATCTACTACTTCGTCTACTAATTAAGGTTAATAAGTCGGCTATAAGCTCTCTAGCAACAACTTATACTTCGTTAAGTAATCTACTACTCGAGCGCGCTTATTTAATACCTACGAGTTACCGCAATAGTTACACTCGATAGTAGCGTATACCTTGCCTTTTAAACGGTCTCTAGTAACCTTGCGCTAATATGCGTCTTCTATACGTTTTCGCTTACTAAGAACATAACGAGTCGGAGTTAGAGTAGATAGACTGCTAATAGTAGTAAGTAGTAACTACTAGCTAAAAGAGAGGTTGTCGAATATGCTAAAAACGATAGAGTATTTAGTAGCGGATTAAGGACAAAACGACTAATAGAAAAGAGGGAACCTAATAGTCTATCTATATACAATCTACTGCAAAATAGCCTATATTATATGCTCTCTAGTACGGTCTCCTTTGTCCGCAATCGCGGCGTTCCTACTATCGAGTTCTCGTCGGTATTCGTTATATCTTAACCTAGTATACCTTAACTAGTCTAATAGGCTCTTAGCCTTTTCTTTAACTATTACATTTATATACAGATCGCTTACATTCGCGATACTAATACGAAAGAACGCGAACAAACACGCCCTCGAGGTAGTACGGACCGGGGTATAAAAAAATCTCTATAGCGCTAGTGCTTCGAGAACCCGGCTAGGGCGGTAAACCAGCCATTCTAGCTATTCCAGCTACTTATCTAAGTGATTATTACTAATCTTATATTCACCTACGTGTTCATAAGATACGCGCTAAGGTAGTCTGTATTCACCGTGTAATAACGGTGATGTTCACGGCTGTGCCATTGTGTACAACATCTCTAAAGGTTGGCGAGACTTCGGTCGCCGGCGAGAGCTCGTCATGGCTTTTTTCTACGTGGTGGTCAATCAGCATTTCCGGGATTCGCAGCTGCCGCAGACGGAATCAAGCAGCTTCCACAGTCAGGCCGACCTCATGCAACGTGCCGACGCGGTGGCATCAGGTGTATAGCAAGATTCCTGATTCAAGAGCTCTTGATGCATTTTGTTGTCGTGTTGGAGGCGCGTCGGCCAGCTCCCGAGACGAGGTCCCGAGAGTCGCATGGGTGGTATGTCTTGGACTCGGTTGCTGGCCGAGGGTTAGTGTACATTCTTGCGTTTCAGAGCGTATACGCCACGCCTTATGAATTCGCTGCGAACGGGTGGCAGAGGAGCAGGCGCTGACACCTACTTCGTCGTTATCGTCCATTCTGTGTGTATTGTTGTCGCCGTGCGGGCATTGGCATCAAGTCTCCTCCCGATAGACATCGCGCAATAGATACGAGCTCCTAGCAATGCACCTTGCGAGCTCGCACACCACCATCAGGACATCGGGCTAACGATTTCGAGAGCTCTCTGCTGCAGGCACTGCGTACAGATCTGGCGCCGCAGATCAGCTTGCTGCAGGGCCATCTCGAGGCGCACAAAATAGCCGGCTGGATTTGGAGCATCGCCGTACGGATGACAATACGCGGCCTGCGCGTACGACCTGGACGATCTCACGATAGCTGTGTGTGGGCAGCGGCAGCAGGTGGAAGAGGCGTGCTTCCAGGAAGCTCACCAGCACCAGACGGCGTCCTCGGCGGAGCAACCGCTGCATCTGGCTGTTCTACAGAGGCAGAGGCAGATACCGATAGCAGACAACAACAGCAAGCAGCAGCACAAGCACGGCGGGCCACGCGTGCGGAGTCTGCAGACGAATAATACGACGATACCTGATCACGAAGACAATAAAATTATAGTTGCCGCGGAGAGCGGGCCATCCATGACGTGCACTGCACCCTCGTGAGTGCCACCAGGGAGGGATTATTGTGCAGGTGTCCGAGGCCAACGCCGTCGTGTCAGAAGAAGCCTGAGGCAACGGTTCTTGCTGCAACCGACGAAGGTGCCAGCAGCGCTGCAGAGGGGAGGAGACGAGACATCCGATTCCCATCCACAGTGAGCGCGCACATTATTATTATTGTCTTCTTCGCCGCACTGGACGCGCCATCTCGCGCTCTCGCAGCGGTGCTGCCGTGCCGCGCCCCCGCCGCGCTTACGATTCGCTGGTCGTGGGTTGGGCTGGTCAACTGCGGCCTGCACGCTTGCCGATCATAGTTTGCGTGCGCCGGCCTGTGCTGAACTTCTCCTCGCTGCACTTGGAATCGGCCTCCACTTGCGACATTCATCTCTCCTGCCTCGCCTACCTCGACCCCCGACCGCGACCCTCACACTCGTTCACCACCACACCACACCACCCCACCCCACCCCATCCGCCCTAGCTTTCTTTCCCTTCACACGCTCGCTGGCCTCGACGCCTTAGCTTCTCCTTGCTTCCACTTCGCCCTCAGGAGAGCAGCGCTGCGTGCACTAGTAATTCCAACTTCACCACTCTGTTTCCGACTTGCTGGTCAAGCATTCTCCCGCCGCCGCCGCCGCCGCCGCCGCCTGCCTCAGGACGACGCCTGTACTATACTTCTGCCACCGACTCCCAGCGAACAGGAAGAGCGCCATCCTCGTTGTCTGCTGTCCCCGCCGACGAACCGCCGCAGACGTCCACCACCCCGACCTCCTTTCCCGCCAAGACGAGCCATTGGACATATCCTCCCGCCATCAAGACCACATCGAACACGTCGAACGCGCCATCTGCATGAACTCCTCCCGAGTCCTCACGAGTCCTGTAAGCAGGCCTCAGCCGGATCTCCTATTCTTAAAGGCACTTCGCGGCATCGGCCTCGCCGCCACAATATTTCACGCACGAGCATGAAGTTGGACAACATGCTCCCCTACAGAGCATTGCCGCTCGGAGTGGCTCTGCTCCGCGCCGCCTCAGTAGCCGCTGACGCTCTGTCGCAAACGTACTGTTCAAGTCAAAATACTGCAGACGATTCGACATATGGTGAGCTGCCATCCATTCGCGACTGGCACGCCACTTGCGACTTCCATTACTGACTCCCTCGTAGTGAGCGACATATATCAGTCCAACGGCCTCTGCTACGACACATGTAAAGCCAGCTACGCGTTTGCCGTCGTTCAGTACCAGTCTTGTTGGTGCTCAAACTACATTCCAGCAGACCAGGAAAGCATTGGCTCCTGCAACCAAGATTGTCCCGGCTACCCATCAGAGAAATGCGGCAACCAAGAAAGCGGTCTCTACGGATACGTCGCACTACCTAACAAACCATCTGGCACTGCAGGAGCGTCCAGCGCAAGCAGCATAAAATCATCGAAACAGGTTAGTGTTCCTTGCCCTCACACAACTTAATATGCTCCAAGCCTCGCTTGGCAGCTTTCTTCAATCCTGATCGTCAGATGTGAGACCATGGCATGTATCAGTCTTGCCATGATGGTGCGACGTCCGCGATCATCTCGACCGACGCTGCCTGGCCTTCGAGGCTTGCTGACCAACTTGACAACCCTTCGGCGCGTCTACACAATCAATGTTGACAGATGGGAAAACAGTCATCGACAACAGCACCATCTTCAACGACAGAACCCCAGACGAGCACTGTGAGTATTAGTATAACGGTGACGCCGAGTCCGGAAGTCTCAGTCTCCTACGTTACTCGCACGCCGACTACTGTATGAGTGACACATTTCATCATGCTTGCACGACCATCCACCACGTACATGCATCATCGAATCTTGGTACAGCGGGTCACAGCATTTGACACTTACTGACATCGTACTCCTGCAGAGCTCCATCACATCATCGACCACATCCAGCACCACCACCGAAACTGCAGCCGCTGTGGTGCCAGTCACAAGCGTCATCAGGACGGTCATTTCCGGAGCGATAGTAACGCAGACCGTAACTTCCACGCCTGTGGCCGCGGGTGGTGCGAACCAGGAATCCGAAAAGCTTCATTTGCATCGGAACGACAGCCTTTCGGGTGGCGCCATTGCCGGCATTGTCATCGGTGTACTCGCTGCATTGGCTCTGCTCGGCCTCGGTGCCTTCCTTCTCTGGCGACGAAAACGAAGACAAGACGGCGAAGAATCTGGCAACGGCAATGCCAAGAATTTGGGTCGTAATGTGAGCGTCCTTAGTAAAGCCGGTCTCCTCGCACGTAACAACACACGCCCGAGCATGGGTGAACGGGACCACGACGACAACATATACCAAACGGGTCAGAACAGCGTTCGACATTCGATGATGTTCGGCCCTGGTGCTGCAGAAGGCGTCTCTCCTGTCAGTCCGCTTGGCAGTAGCGATGGCAGCAGCCACAGCAGGAGAATGTCGAAACCTATGGTCTACGACCAACGGCTGAATCCATCAGCGCTGTTCGCGAACCAAGAAGCGAACGGCAGTCGAATCTCCATGCAGGATGCACAGGATTATACACGCCCGCTCGGCGTCGTGAACCCGGACGTACGACCCAGCTTCGAATCACGAGTATCGCACGCATAGCATGCGCACGAAAGCGAGTAACACAGTCTCTACCCCACCCTACCACTTTTACATTTTCTCTACGCTTTTACCGACATTACATTCACGACTTGACGCACATACATTTGGGCATTTAGCGGGACGGCGTTATCGGTGAAGGAAGAAAGAAAGGTTTGCTGTGGCCGAAAGGCCCGCATCACTTTCTAGGGCGGCCAAACTGTGTGCAGTCATCACATCGAAACCACCCTTTACATCCGCCGAGACACACTACTTCTTTCTGGCACATGATTCACACACGTTCACTATTTTTGACGAGAGGATGAGAGGGAAACCGGAGGGAGACAGGCAAAGGAATCAGTCATTCACATGTTGATGTCCTTTGAGGAGATACAGAAGCGACCAAACACAACCAGCGCAGATAAGACATTGCCGAGTAGACGGAATGCTGAAAAGGGAACAAAGGTACTTGGAGGAGGTTTTGGGACGCTACGTAACTATGTCGGTATGAAATGGTTACCACGCATTCTCTTCACACTCTTCTTTTTGCGATAGAGTTATTATTACTGCTGACACGAGCATTTCCTTCCAGCGTTTGCGGGTCAACTTTGGCGAGACGTCCATCCTTGTTCCTGCTAGGCCTGTTCCTGACGAGTGGTCAGATCTTGCACCTGAACGCGTAAGCACTTGCTCCTGTCAGCACGGCAACAGCTCTAAAATCGAAGATGTCCGGCGACGCGCTCGCTCGCGTGGATGAGACGGATGCACTTCATCAATGCTTTCTTGATGCTTGATGAACAGGAAGAGCTGTGTTCTGTGGCCTGGCCGTAGCTGACAGAAGATGATGGCTTTGGCTCATGATCGCTGCTTCCGGGTCGTGGGTCAATAGGAACTGTATGAAAAGAGAGAGAGAGAGAGAGATCTCGATCAGTGGCCAATGAGACCGATTCTCGAAAGGGATGTACATGTACCTAAATACGCTGCCGTGTATTTTTTTTTTGGACAGGGAATGAATGGTTGGATATTTTTGGCAGAAGCTGCGCTGCAAGCAGGGGACTTGCTTGTATGCCTCTGGTGGGTGATCAGGTGAGTTGATCTTTGGGAGGTCTTCCTTTCTTCGCTGACGAAGGATGCTGTTAAACTTCGTGGTCTCCTTCAAAGCTTGGTGAAAGCAGTGGTAACTAGTCTTGAGATAGCAACCACTCGGCGCATAATGACTTTTTCAGCGCCGGAAGACATCGTAGGACTTTTCCGTGCTATCGATCAACTCTGATAACAACGCGAGAGATATTTCTTGGCTGATGACAACTTCGGTGAGGATGAAACATGTTAACTCGGGGGAAGGAGAAGTGTTGCTTGTACGGTCAGGCTGTACAGAGTTATGAGGCAAGGCAGCTTGCTGGTGTAGGACCACATCTGATATCAGCATGACTTGCGAAAGCACCCAAGATCATCTGCAAGGCATGAGCAATGGTAAGTCGATGTTCAATATGTTGTATATTTCGTCTTCGCTGATTGTGAGTCGACAACGTTCACTTCGCTTGAGGGCCTATAGAAACCCTGAGGTATAGACCATTCTCGAGTCACTGCCCTTCGATCGTCATCGTAGACGACATATATTCTTGACGCTGCCTTGCCAAGGCTCTTGTGAAGGTTGGCGTTCACGTGAATTAATGGGTGACTGTCAGAACCATACCAATCGTTCAGCTATAGAGAGACAGCTTCTTGCAACCAGGAATCCGGGCTGCAGCGAAAGCTGGTAAGTCTCGACACTGCTTAGCTTGAGTAGCCGGCAGTCGAGTGAATCTCCGTGTGCCTTCATCATCCGAGCAGATGATCTGTGTTAGATCATCGCCGAGGAGTGGCCTGAGAGTGGCCAAGATGGTGTAGTCGTAGGAAGTAGGCACTTCTAAGAAGAGCGCTGCGTATGTATGTCGGATTTCCAGACTTCTGACGCATGGAAGTGCATTTATCAACGGATCGCACTGCTCGTCGATCAAAGCTTCGGCATCCCATTTCGTTTTGAGCTCCAACGATACCGTAAGAATCCGAATGTGTCGTAGCAGTGCACAGCCCTCGATGTTGCCCAAGTCGATGTCGACGAGCTCGTCGTGCCAAAACCCACGACTTGGTATGCTGCCCAGGATTAATTTGAATTCCAAAGACGAATACAATGCAGGTGTGGCTTCGCTGCAGATTCGCTTGCATGTCCGAAGAAGCGGCAAGGCATGGTGTCCGCGGTTGCGATATTTTCTCGACTTGCTGGGAGTCAGGAAGACTCTGTCTCCGATGAGACGCAGATCGAGACGGTTACTGGTGTAATCGCCTTTCTGTTCATCTTGCCGGACTGCGAAGGCATGTAGATAGATATGCCATCGCAATTCTGGAGGCAGTTTCCACAGGTCGTTCAAGAGCATTGCTTCGGTTGATTGGATAGGTTGGATGCAGCAGGTATTGCCAAAACGAAGTCAATCACAGTAAGTGAGCGGAGGGAAACACATGCTGTATGCTTGGAGGTGGTGTGGTGATGCACTTGATGCACTCTTTCTGCGGCGCGAAGCCGAGGTGGGGCCACTTTCTTCGCATTTGAACGCCAAGACTTTGAGACAGACCCACCAGAGAGTGCGAGAGCGACAACAGCACACGACTGAAAGACCACATGCTGGAGGCCTCTGCGGCAGTCCAAGGAGAGCTGTGGTCAACTCTCAATCTTGACGACCATGTCCCTTCTAAGCTTGACATCGCTGCTCAAGCAGACGAACATCGACGACGATGCGCAAGTCCTGCAAGCCGCCGATGCAGCGCTGAAGCAGTCCAAGGGCAACATGGAAGCCACCCGCGTCAAAGTGGTTGCGCTTCTCAAACTTGACAGATTTGAAGATGCGCTGAAAGCCCTGGATGCTGGCGGCGAAACACTCAAGGAGATGGCCAGTCTCGAACACGCATATGCACTCTACAAGTCTGGCAGTCCCAAAGCCGCGGCAGAATTAGCACGGAGAGGCACGCAGAGAGGCTCAAAACACGTCGAAGCGCAGTCAAGATACCGGATAGAGGACTTTGCGAGAGCCGCCGAATTGTATCGTGAACTGGCCTCTAATCCGGCAAGCGATATCGAAGCAGACCTAAGAATAAATTCGGGCGCAACAGACGCACAGCTGGAATGGGCAGGACGCGGTGATTTGGTGGGAAAGAAGAAGCCAGGCCGAGAAGACTTGGAGGCTTTCGAGACAGCATACAATGCAGCCTGTGGAAGCATAGCAAGAGGCGAGCTAGCTCAGGGAGAGGTGCTGCTGAAACGTGCGAGCGACCTGTGCACATCCCTAGATGACCTGAGCGTTCAAGAGAAACAGGCCGAGCTCTTGCCGATTAAAGTCCAGCGCGTGTATGTTCTCGAGCGTCTAGGCCGGATCGACGAGGCTGCCAAAATTGCGCAAGAGCTGGACACCAGGGCAATCTCAGAGCCGGTTACTCGGCACATCGCACAGGTCAATGCTGTATCATCAAATCCCGCTGGCAATCCCTTTATTGCGCAGCGCCTCCTGTCGGAAGACCTCAGCACCCAAAAGGATCACCCTTTCCGATTCCAAGACGTGATACTAGCTCGGAATCGATACGCATCGGACTTACAAGCTCTGAAGTATGGTGGCACGGCAGATTCCACTAACGAGATCATCAAGAAGCAGGTTTCGCCAAATATTGACGCATTCTACACTTCTCTTTCTGTCATTAATGCAGCTGCACACGCCAGAAGCCAGACAGGCAAGGAGGCACTCAAGCACATTTTGCCCGTACTGGAGAGAAGACCGAACGACGTTGGCCTAGTATTGGTCATTGTGCAGCTATACGTCCTCACTGGTAACTCGTCATCCGCCATTGAGTTGGTGGAGAAATTTCTTACCCGGCTCGAGCAAGCTGGCGATGCCGAGAAAGATGTACGATTTGCACCAGGAGTGGTCGGAGTCGCAGCAAGTCTATATGACAGTCAAGGTCGTAAAGGCCATGTTAGAACAGAACTTGCGAAGGCTGCTTCATATTGGCGCAGAAAGTCAAAAGATCGGCCGGTGGGCTACGTTCATCTTGCAAAAGCAGCGGGCAGTGCTTTGCTAGAGTCACGGGACGCAGAACACATTCAACTTGCCAATGAAATATTCAGCGAGCTTCACGACTTGAATCCAGACGACAGATACGCCGCAGCAGGTCTGTTGGCCGCGTCACCAGACAAGGCCGGATCGAAAGACCTGGCAAACTTGACACCTATCGATCGCCTAATAAGTGGGATCGATGTTGATTCCCTCGAGAATGCTGGCGTTGCACAGCTTCCATTGTCGGGAGCTGCGCCAGCCACTCGCAAGCGACCAGCGGAAGACACCAAGCCCAAGAAAGCAAAGAAGCTGCGGAAGTCGCGCATGCCGAAGGACTTTGACCCAGCGAAGAAGCCTGATCCTGAGCGGTGGTTGCCTCTCAGAGATCGCAGCACATATAGGCCTAAAGGCAAGAAGGCCAAGGCACGACAAGCGCTTTTCAGCCAGGGAGCTGTTGCGAATGACAGGCTTGACAGCGAAGGCAGCAGACCTGCGACTCCAGGAGGAGAAGTGGTCAAGCAGCAGCAACAAAAGCCAGGACAAAACAAGAAGAAGAAAGGCAAAGGCGGAAAGTGGTAAATTGGACCTCGAAAAGGAAAATCGTAGAGTCTATCAAATCTATACCGCTCAGCGTGCTGTCATGCGTCTTTTCGTCTTTTCCAGCGTGGTGGCACTTGCCCGCCCGCCGAGCACTTCGCCTGAAACCATCTAATCTATCGTAATACATCACCTCTCAATATCTCTCACTCACCTCCTCCGGCGTAGACAACTCAACGTCTTTAACCTCTCGTTGCGATGCCTCCTTCGACGCCTTATTCCTCATGGCCGGGAAGAAAATGCCCGGGTGCGCAACCGTCAGAAGGACCGTCGCAATAGCAATCATAGTCCCATCCAAAATCAAGAATTCCTTCTCATTCCTCATCAACGGATTTCCCCAACCACCCGCCATCTCCGGTAAACGATAAATGCATCTCACGAAAATCGCGATAAAAGCCAGACAGAAACATATCAAATAAACTCGGAAAGCTTTCATCGAAGTCGAGATGTACTGTCCCAGGTTATTCGATCGTAGCGTTTGCGTCCTCCAAAGCGTGAAAGCGAAATCCAGAGCGAGCAAGAGGCACAGGGCCATGGTTGCGACTTGGAATGCTATGCCGGCAATCATAATGTGATTCCCAATATTGATCGTCTCTCCCTCGCCAGCACTCGCGATGCCACCTCCGATCGCCTGCATGACGATAGAAATCGCGTCACAAGTGATGAAAATCCACGTATAGAATTTCGGCTGCAGTCTGCTTTTCTCCGGTCCCAAGGCCAAGACGATGTGTTTCAAGGTCAAGTAGATTCCGGCGGCGAGGAAGGATGGGGCTAGAATTAGGCATACGACTTGGATCTTGAAACCTGCGTCGGACCAGGGATTGTCGTGCATCATTAGGCGTCCGCCGTAGCCGATGCATTCTGCTAAGGAGGCCAGTAGGACGACGGTGCTGAAGGCGATTATGCGGAAGCGGATTCCCAGGATGAGTTGGGATATTGTGCAGAGGGCGAAGATTGAGAGGAGGACGGAGTTGCCGGCGATGTTGGGGTCTGGGGGTGTCAGGAAGAGGTTTTTGTGAGGTAGGGATGGGTTGGATGCTTACAGTAGCCGTAGGTTGTTGCCTCGACTGGACAAAAAGGTGTCACTTCTGTGCAAATTTCGATTTGATCTGACATGGTGATAGAATATGGCGTTGAAGTTTGGGGATGGTTGTTGTCGATCAATCGATTGTTCGCAAGGCTGAGGGTAGTCGGGCTCCGGGAGGTGGTCTTGTTGTCGTTTCTTGTAGAAATTGATTGAAGCGAATGCTGACTTGGTGATACTCACATCACGATACTGCCGACCTACCATATATCTCTTCAACGACCGGGCAGTGCAACCATCACCGAATCCATCGACCACGTGTTTGACACGAGGAGAGAGGATCCGTTCCTTCTGCTCTGCATTCGTACCTCGTAAGCTAGCCAAGAAAAGTGGCTCGCAGCTATACTCTTTCCACCCCATCTTCTTGGCGTGAACGACGGGAGCGAATGCGTCAACCAATGACAGCCTCAGGATTGCCAAGGCTTGGCTATTTGGAGGCCCACTTCGCCGGCGAGCGGGCTTTCTCAGCCCCAGGCTTTCACTTTCCAGTGGATTGGACTCATTGCACGCGAGCCTCGTACAGCGTACATGGCAAGAAATTCGGCTGCCTGGTGAAAAGGCGCCTGGGTTGTTGTTAGCGCAGGATCTATTCAGACCAGAAAGAATCTGTGCCCGATGCAGCCATGCCGAGTCGACGTCACCATACCAAGGCAACCACGGGCAAGTAGAGACTGTCATGCAGATTGTGTCGGCCTTGAGGCGCTGATCCAGGATGCTTGTGCTGTAGGCTGTACTTCGTGCAAGAGCAGACATGTCAAAGTACGTTGTCTCCTGCCCGACTTCCTCCTCGACCGAAAAAGCCTCTTGTTTACCGTGGATTCGATCTTCTCCGGTGATCACATCCACAGCTTCCTGAAGGCTAACTCATGCTTGGTAGTGCGACGAAACGAGACCCACCTGCATGAATTGCACACGACGGAGCACTGAATGTGTCTATACCACGGATAAGCTCGTATCCCACAAATCATCTCCTACTGCTAAACCACCATCCAATGGCGTTAGACCCTCGACCGCCCACGCGGATTCGTTCGACTGGCTTGATCTCGAATTGATGCATCGCTGGACTGTCGACACATCACAAAGCCTTTTCCCCGCACTCTCAGCCCAGAAGTTCTGGCAAAGAGATGTTCCTGTCCTGGCACGGACACATCCTATTCTGAGGCATGCTATGCTGGCGGTTGCCGCGTCGGACCTGGCTTGCAATGCGCTTTTGCTATCCGATGCTGGGAGTTCACGAGACCCCAACGCGACCGCTGTTGCAGCGAAGTATCGGACGCGAGGCTTGTATCATCAGCAAGCGATACTGCCTCTCTTCCAGCATCTTCTCCAGAACCAGCAAACGACGGAAGAGAAGAATGTCGCCTTCCTTGTCTCTCTCCTTCTGATCATCCTCGCCTTCTCGTCTGTCCAAACTACAGACGTGAAACCAACGCTCTCCGACCTGATGGACGTCTTCGCGTTGTTTCGAGGCCCGAAAGCACTGTGGGATGTCAATCGAGACCGAGGTAACGAGGAGCTGATGGAGACTCTCTTTCCTGGAAGCCGCGGTACCTTCAGAGAAGCTTTCGCAAGGACAGACATCAGTGATCCGCCATGGCCAGAGCTTGGCTCGCTTCCATTGGATGAGGTCTGTGCAGATTGCGTATTGAAGCTCAAACGTTCCTTCTGGGCATCGCAGCACCAGCCTGGTGATGTTAGAGCGCTCGGATATTTCCCAGCTTTGGTGCCTGAAGAATTCTGTATACAAGCGCGAGAACGCAGACCTCATGCTGTCCTCGTCCTCAAACACTACGCCGAAGTATTGGAGATGTTTCGCGCAAGATGGTGGATTGGCCCGTGGCATTCCGTACTCCTTGCCGCATTGGAGACCCGATGAGACCGGAGGCGACTGCACCTGCGAAAATCGATGCCATACAGAGACAAATCTTTCTCTAGAGCTAGCAGCACGTGCGAAGGTCCGCTCGAAGAATGGAAGGCTGGGATGCTTGAAACCGAGAGCGGTAGTGGCTTAGTGCACTCATAGTCGGGTTTCGAATCTCTCAAAGGAGGTTGGAATGCCCAGCTCCAAGTTTGATAGCATCATTTGTTCTGGAGAAGAGGTGATCTGGGACGGGGGAGGCTCAAACGCTTCCGGAATTGCCTAGGAGTACATCCAGGAGCAAGGCTGCGAGAGCGCTAGTTCCGGTGAGGAACACTGGCAAAGTCATGCTCCATAGAGGATGAAATAGCAGTAGATGGAATACCTCGAATCTATACAAAGTCAATACTCTTCGTTGACCTGGGCGATATCGTGCTTCGCCTCGTCCTGTTGGACCTGCAGCTCAGCATTGAAAAGCCACGCCCTGCTTTTTAACCATATTCTTTCCGCCGCCAGCGAATCCAGTCCCGTCACTGCTCAGCTCAACCAGTCCACGTTCAACTTTGCTCTCTTTCTCGCCAGTCTCAGGGTCCTTCTTACGCTTCGAATTCCGTCCTGGCGTGATATCTTCCTGGCAGACGTAGCACCTCACGGTCTCATCATGCTCCTTTTCGTGCGCAGACTTCTCAGTAGCCTTCTGAAATCTGTCGCTGCATGGCTTGCAAAGCACATGTCCGCAGGGCTTTGCCAGGACAGCTTTTGTTGAGTTCGAGAGAGCCTTTTCGCAGCTGGGACAGCTTCGTGTTGCTTTATCACTTTCCTTCACAGCACTTTCTCCGCTGAACTTGACCGAGACCAGTCCTTTCAACGTGAACTCATGAGGCTTGTCAGGCTCTGCTGCCGGGCAGGTCGGATGCCGCTTGATTGACTGCGCATCACTCTTCTGGTTATCAGGGATCTGACTTGGAGTCCAGAACGAAGGTAGCTCAGGCTTCTGCTTCTCATCGTGCATGAGTTTCTTTGCCTTCTCCCGATCCTCGTTGGCCAGTCGGACAAGTTCATCCTCGTCGATCTCGAACTTCCGTTTCGTGCCTTTTGGCGCATCTTCTACGTCCTGCTCGACCGTGATCTTGCCATTGCTCCTGCCGATGATCTTCTCGCCCTCCCTACCTCCGTATCTCACGCTCAGCCCCGCCTGAACCTTCTCAAACTCTTCCACAGCGCGAGCCTGCGCTTCGGCATCTTCGAATTGCTTGTCCTGCGCTTCTTCGGCTTTCCGGCGTTCAGCTTCCTTCCTGAGACGCTTTAGCTCCTTATTCTGGGCCAGCAGGTTAGAAACAGCACATTCCCTGCAGAAGAGATGTCCATGGCTAGGACAAGAGACGGGATCGCGCGCAGAGAGTAGACAGAGTTGACAGCTCCCAAATGGCAGGAAACTGTCACGGGTCAGACGGGTCGACTTCGAGCCCCAAGTGCCCTTGAGCTCGTTTCGCTCGTGAGCCGTGAAGAAGGCCAAACTCGTATTCCTTTTGCCTGCATTGTTAGTAGGCAGTCACATAGACGTGCAAGTACTACACTCACTGTGCGACATTTTGGCGATGCGACCATGAAAGTCACCATCACGGTCACTTCATCACGCCAACAAACCTGAGCGGCTCGCGGACCCAAGTCCGAGGCCGCAAAGCTTGTTCCTGACCCTGTCCACGTCGAGGGTCCACGTACGTTCTCTCATTCTGCAACACCCGTGGCCCTTTGCAAACAACTCCTGGGGATTGTTGAGCTAATCCATTGAAGGAACTCACCTGATCCCATCCTTTCTGTTCGAACTTTTCTTCGTGCATGTCGCTGCAATAACACCCGCTCTCGACCGCCATGTCGGTTGACGAGCGGCCCTATTCGCCTTCCTTACCATGGCGAATCACATCAGCAGCAGCCTTCGGCGCCGTGGGTTTCTTGAGCCGAAGCTTTCTCTTTCTTTTGAATAAAACCGAAGTACGTGGTCTTGATCGTTTGGTGGAAATCCTCGATGCTAGAAAAGATGAGAGGCAAAGAGAGCGTGGTTTGATTACAGGTCAGTAAGCAAGCATGAGCAGGGCTGGGACTGTAGCCATTAACACGTGTGTATCTACAGTATCTAACCATGTGAGCGTGTGCGTATCAACACTCTACTTCGCCTGATTCCTCACAAGCCTCTGAAGCAGTATAGACTTGACGATCCCATGGTCTGGGGCGTATTACCATATCGATATATCTGGGATCCGAACAATATGCGATGGTCGTTGGGATCTTACGACATCTGTTTCAAGAATGGGTGAGCCACTTTCCATCAGAGTTAAGCTTCCGAAACTGAGATTGACGAGTGGCAAAAGACTCATGTCTGCTTTCTTCTCTTATGGCAACACCTTACCCACACATCGCGCCGCATACTCGAAGTTTGGCGGTCTCTTCCAACCAACAATGACACAGTGCATAAGGCTTCTCAGCGACCCTCACAGCACCAACGACCACAACACAGACGGGAAAGAAGCCTACCGGACATCTACATCAAGCTTCGCCGCGACCGACCCATTCTCCTCCGCAGAACTGACCTACTCCACAAACGGCCTGGACTCCTTCCCAGCACCATCATCCTACCCTTCAAGACGCTTCTCTTGGATCCACATCTTCCCCGAAGGCATGATCCATCAACACCCAGATAAAGTGATGCGGTACTTCAAATGGGGCGTAGCACGCCTCATCTTAGAATCCGAACCATGCCCGGACGTCTTACCAATGTGGATCGACGGACCCCAACAGGTCATGGACAATAATCGAGGATTCCCTCGTCCTCTCCCAAGAATCGGACGAGAGATCAAAGTCACATTCGGCGAGCTGGTAGATTCAGAAAAGGTCTTTGAGCCGTTTCGACAGAAGTGGCAGGAATTGAAGCAGAGGGCTAGACGGAAACGAGAACGAGTTTTGGAGATGGGGAAGTTGGGCGTGGATGTGGATGAGAAAGAGGAAGTAGGTGTTCTCAATGATGATGAATTGAAGTATGGCAAAGAAGCGGAACAACTTCGTATCGACCTCACGCTAGCTGTGCGGAATGAGGTCCTCAAAGTTCGGAGGTCTTGTGGTTTACCGGACGAAGACCCGAAGAGGACTCTCGCGGATAGCTTTAGAGAAGAGGGCACTTTCGGGCGAGATGGATTGAAGAAGGATGGAAGTTCTATCAAGCAAGGATGAGTCGAGATAAACGACAACTGTCACCCACCGACCAAGTAGTTTAAGATCAAGTCCGAGCGCACGTGAAGAGGCCAAACTATCAACGCACGTGTCAATTATCTGGACTACACTGGTGATGCTAAGGCTGCTCGAACGCTTTCTGCGCTTTGTGCAGGGGCGCAAAGAACGGCGCATGAAAACACCGAAATCATGCCCGATGGGGGCATATTGATTATCTCAGTAGCCGAGATTCTGAAGGCAAAACAAGGAAGCGAACGAAGACTCGTGACATTACTGAGTGCCTTTCCTTATCTAAGACGCTTTCCTACTATTCCCACCCGTGAATCGATGTCTCCAACCTCAAAGACTGACCATAAGCTGCTGTCCAAGGCTGCGATATCCGTGCCAGGGCAGAGACTCTTGAAGCGCTTGTCTCTCTGGTGAGCGAGGCGCATTCGAGGATGACGACAGGCTAGCCTTGGTCTGAAAAGTTGCGTGTCCATGCTTCGGAGGTGCAAAGAGCCTCGTGTTCTCTTTTGCTCGCACAGCGTCGGGGAACGGCGTTGGGGGAAAAGCACTCGCGACATCTGGGCACGGGGTGGAGGGTGTTGATTGCTTGTCACTAGGCTGTGTATTGCTCGAGAACTCCTTCGCGCTGTCGGACTCACTGCGGCTGGTCAACTTCAGAGAGGTCTCTGTCGCCTCATTATTTTCCAGTTCCTTCCCCGACTCATCAGTGTTCTGGGCTTCGCCATCCGTCTCTTCTTCATTCGTTTTCGTCCTGTCCTCCACGGCATCCCTTCGCGCGGCTTCTAATTCCTTCCTCTCATACTCATCGTGCTCGTTCTTCTCCTGCCCACCCCAAGGCATCCAAGATACAGTGATACCGGCCGCCTCTTGAGCGGCTTGATTCTCCGCGACCTCGTCCTCAAGTCTGACATAGTCATCGCCCCAATCATCCCAGCTAGCACTAAAAGCATAGGGATTGATGTTGTGCTTGACCACCACATTCTCAGCCGTGACCTCTTGTCTCAGAATACTCTTTTTATCCGTCGGTCTAGTCGCTCCGGGACCTTTCTCCGATCTCGCAGTCTTCTTGACCCTTCCATCTGGAAATCTTCTATAGAGTAGGTAAAGCTCCCGGCCCCTCTTGGATTCGGCAGCGAGCACTTCTTCGGGCGTTTCCATCATCCACCCATCAGCATCTGGCTTGGCTAGAGATATCTTCAGCGCTGTGAGTTCGTCGTTCAATTCTTTCTCTCTGGCCGTTCGAGCACATGGTCCGCAGATGGCATCCGACTTCATCGTGATCAAGGGGCTTCCGACGCAAGAAGCCCGTTTCTCGCGGGCCTTCCGGCTCACGTAGGTGTAGGTGCCGCCGCATGTACTTAGGCAGAAATTGAAGATGTGCCCGCATGCGTAGGCTATGTTTCTGATTTGGCACATACTCGTGAATGATGTTGTGGTTCGGTGCTCAAGTGTTCTAGCGTGGGTCGAGATGAACTGATGAAGGCGGCGAGTCCAGCCACAAGCAGGGTGAAGGAATCTGTTCGAATCCAGTCGCCGCGTGTTGAGCGTCGCGTTCCGCTGCTCGTGTCGTCATATGGGCCGGTCATCTACGTGCTTTTGAGCTTGTGACTTGAAGTCTTGCTGAGACCATCATGTGTTTGGCTAGGGCTACGTTGGTGCACAGCATACGACGCGTTTTTAATATGGTGACCCGCCTTACACATTGGGCAGAAAGGAAGTGCTTGGCTAAGATAGAAGTTACCCGTGCAGTTGCCAAAATTGAGGTAGAGCGAACAGCTGACATCTCGACGTTGATGGGAAGGCATGATGTGTTCGCACGGCCAGAGCAGCCGTTGGCGCTTATCGGGCCGCAAATTTCGGAACGCGAAGTGAGGAAAACTGTGAAAGCTGCGCGTTAGCGCGGGAGAGAATCGAATGAAGCTACCCGAGCTTTCATCTCGTCACCTTCAAGGCCAATGCAAGCCACATATTACAATCTATCGCTTGCTACTAGTACAAAGACATTAACGAAATCGAACGAGTGTATTGGTATCTCGCAGAAAGCACAACCGGTTCCTCCTTGCCTTGCTTTCCGTGCTCGGCCGTAATGTTTCAGCAGGAGAGCCTGCTCGCCGCCGTGGTCTGAACGCCAGCATGTACCCAAAGAGAACACTTCCATCGATCCAAATGGTAAGTCGTTTGTGTATCAATGTCATCATCATATGTTTTTGGGTCGTAACAAATCGTTATGTCGAAAGCATGTGCGTGACGAAATGGTTATTTCGATGCGGTGCGGGTATGCCATCGCACTTCCAAACCGTGATCGGGACTGAGGGCTCGGGTTGTGCTTGAGCGGCATTCCGACCATTAGACGATGGGCCTAAGCTGATGCTATCGCACTCCAGGTCTGGCAATGGTCGAGTATCTGAACTCCAGCGATCTGACGGGCCTGAGCGCACGTTCTTTCTAGTAGCGTACGACTGGTGCGCCAGCAGCATCGTCAGCCATGAGCATGCCATTCCTCGCACCTGATTTCACGACCTGGTCCATCCAGTTCGCTTGCGAAGGTCTCCTGTTCTTGCCGCCCTGCCACCACCGCTTCTTGTCACTCGAATGCGTTGACTTGACCTCTACGGTGTTCTGATACCTGTCGTCATGCGGGCAGCTATATTCATCCATACTGTACTTGCGAGCAGTATTCTCCTTATTGCTGCTTTGACGCGAGTGGCCAAATGGCGTACTTGAGTTGGTTTCTATACGATTCCAAGGACGAACAGGACCTCCTACACCACGGGAGTAGTCGGCAATATGAGGCATCCTTCGCGAGGCCTTTTCTGGAGTTAGCTGCTGAGTATGTATGTGTGGACTTCGCAATTGGTCGGGTCTCATCTGCCCGCTACTTCCGGACCCATTACTGCGCATCGGTTCAATGCTTCCTCCGCCCAGCGACAAAGACGAAAGATCGAACTCATTTGCCAATGGCGAGCTGAGTTGAGAACTTCCAGAGAGTGGAGGTGGGCTCGGTGATGGATGTAGACAATTCGGCGTTGGCCTCTTCGTGTCAACAGTTTGCTTCTGTGACATTGGGGGAGTGGGGGAGCCGAGACGTGCCGCGATGGCTTCATCTTTAGTCGCTAGCTTGGGTGAAGCGGCAAGGCGCAAGTCCTTCCTCGACAAGGCTCGGCGGAGACCTTCAACCATAGGCGCCCGACTCCTTGGCTTCTCAGTTCCAGGAGTGTGCCTTCGCTCAACAGGTGCCTGTGCTGGCGCGTCCGGCTTGTCATCTTTCCACTGATCAAGGCTTGGCAAGGGTGGAAGTTCTCTGTTGAGATCAATCGGAGGCTTCTGTTGCTGAGGTGGTGGCGAGACTGTGTTATCGTCCACCAAAGCAACATTGGATCGACTCCTGTTGAACAGCTTCCCTCGCCATCTCAAAGACCGCTCAGAAGGTGCGAAACCACTTCGCTGCGATTCAAAAGACTGTGATCGCCTATGGCCTCGGTTGAGATCGATGCTGGGTTTCCTACTTCGATTGCCCGTGGAAGAGCCGGGCCTGAAATACTCCTTGACATTTGAAGTAAAATCTCGTGCTCTACTTGGAGGTCGCTCGGGCGGGTCCTGCGTGGGTTGGTCTGGATTAGGCCGGAAGTAATGGCCAACGATATCGTTAGTGATGGTTTCCGCCTTGTTCGCAGCTTGCAGTGCCGCTCGACTGGCCGAGCGAGCAGCTTTTCCAAGGCGACTGCTTGAACGAGCAAGCAATCTGCCTCTATCTTCGGCTTCCGGACCTTTCTGGAAACTTTCGGATCGACCACGCTCGACCGTGCCTCGATCGATCTGCTGAGGATCATCCCTGATTTCTTGACGACTCACTTGCCTAGTCCCTGCTCGAGATGATTCTCTCGCCTGTGAGCTTCCCGGACGAGAAGGCACAGGTTTTCGAGCTGGTACTTGAGCAAGGGCCTGAGGCGTGGGCGCTCGTTTGGGTAAGTAGGTCGGCGTAAAGTCGGTAGATTGGTCGTTCACTCGTTCCCGTGCGCGTTCCCTTTCTTCAATGAGCTTTTTGTGCTTTTCGAGCTCTGCACGCATCCATTCTGCATTGACCGCTTCAATCTTCGGGGCACTTCCGCTTTCAGATGCAGAAGTAACAGCCTGAGACGAAGTTCTCTTGGAGCGTGAAGGTGTGATTGCGGCAGAGGTCAATCCAGTAGATGCCGACCAGGGGTAGTCAGTTGAATCTGTTTGAGGTGTTGATCCAGAGGTACCAACAGAATCTGATCTGCCCAGCATCCTTGGCTTCTCGTGTGCTTCAGTTCGAATGGTATACAGTGCTGGCTGTTGCTGTGAAGCAGTTCGCGAATGTCTTGAAACAACACTTGGTGCGCCTACTGCAGCCCCAGCCATAAGCTGGTCAGCGCGTGAGCGTGCGCTTGTCTGCGGCAAAGGCTTCTCATTCTTGAACAAATCCTCAACGGCAATGTGTGGTCTGTAGCTGTACTTGGAGGACTCGTGCGAGGGCTCCGGCTTGTGACGCGTGCTTCGAGTCCGGACTGGGCCTATGGGAGCCAAGTCTACGTCGGCCTTGATGGAAGCATAGTCCAATGCCGGCCTGGTTGCGGATCGATCCCATATTTCATGAGAAGGTTTGGGGTGTGTAATGATATATGTGCATGCGGCGCGCAATTCGGCGTCCACGTCTCCTGAAAGCGGTGGGCGTACACTTTTCGGCGTCGGAGGTCGTGACTCGGTGGGGGATACAAGGAGATGGCCGCGCAACTCATGCTGATGCTGTTTAGAAGCAGCCTCAGGTCGCAGCGAACCGATTTTCTATGAACATTCGGTCAGTGGACTCGATCGATACGGGGCGCGGCGCAATATCACGAATCTGGCGCGCAGCAGATCTACCCAGGGACATGGTACTCACCAGCTTCGGAATGTCGAAGGAAAACTTGCGCTTCATGCTGGCGGCCGCAATGCTGGCGCCGAGCGAAGTGCGGATGTGGCAGTGGTGGTCGGTATGTGTGTTGATGGTGGTAGCGATGGCGATGGCGATGGCGATGGCGATGGCGATGGCGATGGCGATGGCGATGGCGATGGCGATGGCGATGGCGATGGCGATGGCGATGGCGATGGCGATGGCGATGGCGATGGCGATGGCGATGGCGAGGGGGCGCGGACGTCGCGGTGAGCAGGCGTGCCAGTGCCGGTGCCGGTCTAAAAAGACGGAGGTGTGGTGAGGATGCAGGGTAGAACTGCATGTGCACGTGTGCTGCAATGCTGCATCAGCGCTTGGACGTTGCTGATGACGCGTGCGACTCTTTCACGCCGCCGCTCCTGCTCGTTCACCCGGCCCGGCCCAGCAGTGGTTCGTGATGGTCTGTGGTGTGTACATCGAAAGGCGCGTGGCCCAGCAAACAAGAGCGCTGCCGGTGAAAGAAGATGGATCATGGGCGTGAAATTTGGAGAGCACCGCGGCGGCTTGAAGCGACCATTTCTCAGAGGCTAGGAGGCTAGCACACACCCCAGTGACCCCATCCTACCCATCGTCGTGATAACCAATTGCACTGCTTCGTTCTTCGCACGTCGCCGCCGCCCGTCCGGCAAAGCTGCAGCTTGGTTTCACGAACAATAATTCGAAACACCCAGCTCCTCGTCTCGGTACGCAGCTCTGGAGAAGGCCTGCCTGTATGCCCCTGCAGCTGACATGCTTTAGACTAGAACTAGCCCATGCAGCAGGCTAATGCCCACCTAAGATTCGGAGGAGCAAAGCGAAAGGATGAAGTCAACGGCCGTTGAAACTCTGTGAAGCGAGAGTTAGAGATCTCGGAGACGTTCAATGCCTTTCAATTCATTGCTGCTGCGAGGAGAGTCACAGCACTCACATGTGCGCATGGATACCTGCTTCAGCTGCTGCGGGGTCTCTTGGGCGCCTGGCGTGAAGGAAGGAGCTGCTCAGCCCTCCATCAATCCTCGGGACGAATGCATCACGGAGATCAAGACAAGCCCGTTTGTGACCGACACTCTGAAGCAAAGCCGAAACCTTTGCCGCAAGGAACATCTTCAGCCAGGCCGCTGACATGGCGAGCCGACGTTTGACGTTGACACCTTGGCAGCCCGCATCACTGCGCACTTAGCCAGGCCGTAATCGTTGCAATGGTATATAAACCGCATTGTAACAATCCGGACATACTTCCCATGGAGATTGCTTTCGCAGATGCAGATCGATCTGAGCTCGGTGCAACGTCACTCTAGGTTCGGAACTGCAAATTGAAAGTCAGGCCTGCGTGTCAGTGTCACGCAATATCCATCTGGCATTGCAGCGATAAACCTGGTACATCTTCGACTGCAAGGGCAGATCAGCAGACAGGGTCTTCAACCTCAGCAACTTCCCTCTATCGTGTCCAATTCTTGTCGAGGCGAATTCGGATCTTTGCATCCGTTGGAAAGGCACTATCAATGGTATCTGCCGTAGCTCATTCTCTAGAGCTAACAATTGCGGTCGTTGCAGGGCAGATGCGGTCTGCGCAAGGTTCTGACTAAAGCATGTGATGGTGGAAGGAATACGTATATAGAGGCGTATTCAACAGTCCATTCAAGCTTAACATGTCTCATTGCAACCATGATTCATTCATCACAGACAAGATGCTTGAGACGTCTTGCCGAAACCTTTCCGAAGCCTAAATCTTGGAAGCTGGAGCGAGTCGAGACATGATACTGATGGGACTTCATGGTACGGGGCAAAGAGGTAAGTGCTCCATTCGCAGATCATTGACGAGGCACCGGATTGCATAACAGCTCACCGGGCCTGGTATCGTTGTGCAACTAGCATCACTCAGATTGTGCCGATAGCACGCAATCTCGAAGTGGCACTTGGATGTTGTCCTATGTGCGACTCAGGATGATCGAAACCGACTTCGATTGCCCTGCACTTGCAAAGACCACGACTGAAGCCTTCGCGGAGATTGTCTCAAGTGACGGCTGGAAGCAGCCTACTTTCGTTGACGATCTCAAGGAGATTTATGCCATCGAAGATGAGGCCATTGGAGCACTGCGCCAGTGGCTTTCGTCCTGGATCCCGGAGAACTTCCAGGAGTCGCAACGCTGCAACGCGCCACGACATTACGACGCTGTGGGAGAACACTCGCCGTCTCGCCGTCTCGCCGTCGAGACGCTGCCAGTCAAGTTCTCCGTGAAAGTGGCGCCACCTGAGTGAAAAAAGGGTCAATGCCCGGAGTGCAGGACCGTGTTCGCGATCGAGAGTGCAAAAGAGTACGGAGGTCTTCCAAACTGCACGTACTGTTCCAACAAGGAAAATGCAAGAATCTGTAGCGGGAAAATGAGGTGGAGAGCTGTCCAAGGTTCGCAGACAGCGCATAGACGTTGTTGTGAAGGCCTCTGGGCAGGTACGTGGGTGCCCCAGACAAGTACATACCTTCCTCGAGGTAGATAGACTTGGAATCAGACATTTACACTTCCAATAATTTGACCATCCAACAGATGTAGGGTTTAACAGCAATGCAAATCCGAATTCGGCGGCAAACGCTCGAGGGCACCCGGTCATGATAGGCAGACATCCAGGAGCTCGAGTCAGAGCCTGAGGTAGCATCAGGCTCACGTGCAAGCCAAGCCTCAGCCTTGCTCCACCTGCTTTCAAATGCCCAAGTCCCCATAGGCCAGCTTCTTATTCTTGCTTTCATATACAGTGGAAGCCTCTGCAATTCCAATCATCAAATCAGAGCCTGGAGATGTGGTCTAGGTGGTCGGGCACAGGCACCTCGACTCGTTCAGAGGTGGGCAATTCATTAGTCCGTGCATCATTCCTTGATAATATGCATGTCCTGGATGTCAGTTCGAGTCTGACGATCTCCAATATCTTTTTCTTTTTTTTTCCTCTTCTGGCTTCTGCGTTTGGCTCCCTCTTCTTTGCTTAGGTATCTTGTGAAAGTGCACTGGTCGGGAATTCGAAATTCTTGGCAGTCCTTTTTGGTTTTCTTCATACCGAGGAATTGCAAGTTTGCATTTGCACTTCATACGCATCTGGAGCTCGGTCACTTCTACGCTCGGCGGGAGCATAGTCCAGACTGAGATGTTGAGGTGTTGCACCTAATGTCGGATGCTCCTCACCTGCCAAAAGGGAGATTCCGGCGGCTATTGCGTTGGAGCTCAAGTCCTCATGTTTTACATACGAGCATGGTTCAATTCGGGAGCGACCTCAATAGCTGATCAGAATGAACAACTGCTTGGCCCATGAATTGAAGCATTGTATCGGCGTCCGTGCAGATCTCACCAAACAAAACACGCGTCTCTAGCCGCCTGTCCTGGTGGCTCTTTTCCGTGTCATCAGAGTATGCTGTTCTCACTCCACAGGCCCGAATTCGCTCTTCCTGACTGTCGAACTACGCCTTGGCCGCAAAGCGTCCTCGACGCCTTACGAGACTGCCAGATCGTTCTCTTCAGCCCTCCTGATCCTCCGCGCCCTGTCCTACATTCCGTTCCTAGCTCTTCTAGCCTCTTGACCATCGTCCCGGGCAATTTGCTCTCACCGAGGACCACGCGGTTCGACGCAAGGACCCTCTCCGCGAAAGTCCGCCAAAGCTTGTGGTCGTTCTCATGCTCACCATCTGGTCGAGGATAGAAAGGATCGTTCTTGAAGCACCCTTTGGCAACTTGGTTGATTCATTGCTCATCCATCGGCATGCTTTTGACGCAGTCGAAATCTAGGCCCACAGCCGATGGGGACCGAGGATACCGGAGTGTGCAGCGCTTGCAGCAGATGCCGAGCGCAGCGCCGGTCTGACCACCAAAATCGCCGAGCTGACCACCGCGGTGGTCAGGAACTCTAAAATGACAGGGGGTTAGCCGAGGTTAAGCTAATTAGAATGCGAAACCATTGAGTAAGTTTATTATATTTTTAATAGAATTTAAATGAAATTTCAATAAGAAATAAATAATCTTTTATTTTTTTACTTCTATAATAATTACTATAGGGTAAAGATTTTTTAAAAGGATTTAGAAAGGATTCGGAAAGGATTCGGAAAGGATTCGGAAAGGATTCGGAAAGGATTTAGAAAGGATTCGGAAAGGATTTAGATAGGAATTAAACAGGAATTAAATAGGAATTAAATACAATTTAAATAGAATTAATATAGTACTCTTAAAAAACAATTTAGAAAGGAATTAGATAATAATTAGATAGAAAGCGGATAGGAATAAAATAGAAATCGGATAGGAATAAGATAGGGATTAGCTAGGAATCGGATAGGAATCGGATAGGAATCGGATAGGAATCGGATAGGAATCGGATAGGATTTAGATAGGATTCGGATAGAATTTTAGAAATAGTTTAGCTAAATACTAAAATAACTAATTAGCTAGTAGATTAGCTATGTTTAAAAATTATATTAGTTAATTACTAAGACTTTCTCTAACTAGACTTAGAGACTATTAACTATTTAGATAATAAAAAATAATTATAGTAGCTAATACGAATAGAATATAAAGAAAACAGAATAGAAAGAATTTAGAAAGGATTTATATAGAATTTTAGAAAAACTTAGCTAAGTACTAAATGAAATAACTAAATAGCTTACCTATATAGAAAATATTATTATATTAAAATAATAAGACTTAGTTTAATTAGAAGAAAAATCTACTTTAATAATAGCACTAATTCTAGTAGCGAGTTTAATTAGAATATGAGTAGGATATAGATAGTACTAAAATTATAAATATACTCCTATAATAAACGAATATAGATTACTAATAATATAGCCCTATATACTAGATATATACCTATATAAAAACACTACTAGATATTATTATACCTAGAATTAGATCTACTACTTAGTTCTACCTAGAACTACTCTAGTAGTGTCTGGTTAGAAGTAAAGCTAGGACTATATTTGCCTTCTAGACCTATTTAGTTTCTATATAATTTCTAATTAAATTGTACTAGAATTCTTTAAGAGTCTTATCAAAGTAATTTATTTGCTTAGTTATAGCTTATAAAATTATAGCGCTAGGCCTTAACTTATATATACTTCTACTTTTATACTTACTAGGCGTATCTAGTTTTAGATTTATAAGTTTTTTAGTTATTAAAGTTATCTAAAGCTATAGAAATCTACTTTATCTTTTATTCCTTTCCTATTCCTTTCCTATTCCTTTCTTATTCCTTTCCTATTCCTTTCCTATTCCTTTTCGATTCCTTTTCGATTCCTATTCGATTCCTATTCGATTCCTATTCGATTCCTATTCGATTCCTATTCGATTCCTATTCGATTCCTATTCGATTTCTATTCGATTCCTATTCGATTCCTAGTCGATTCCTAGTCGATTCCTAGTCGATTCCTAGTCGATTCCGATTAACTTTCGGCAAGTAGGGCTAACTTAAGCCGAGGCTACGCACGGTCCACCGTACGGACTACTACGGCTCTATCCGATTGGTCAATTCGGTGGTCAGGTCGGTGATTTCGGTGGTCAGGATTTCTGAGTGCCCGCAGATGCCGACCTTACGGGCCGATGTAGGCGAAGTTGGCGGGCAATCGGGCAATGTTGAGTGCACGCTCACAGGTACACCGTACTTCCTTCCAAGTTGGAGATGTCGAACTTTCTCGTGTGAACAGTCCTAATGGCTGTGGAAGTAGAAGCAGAGGTGCCAACATACACCATCATCCAGGCAGATGGCCTGTATCCTGTATGCCTAGGGAAGTCTCCAGCAGGAGCATTACGCGTGCTGATCATTCGCTGTAGGACGATGTGGTCGAGCAAAAGATCTTTGCTCCTCAGCCTGGTCAGAACTACAAGCTAGAATTCGTCTCAACCGCGCTCTGGCCTACAGGTACCGCCGAATCGAAGCCATGGTCTGCTATCCCTGAAGACCTCCGAAAGCGAACTAATGGCATTATGGTCCTAAAGATTGGATTTACGGAAGCTGATGTGGCATTGTTCCCAAATCTGAAGGTGTGAGTGACCTTCAAAGTTATAGACAAAAGCTTGCGCTGAGAGACTGGGAATAGCATTGTACGCATGGGAGTTGGCTATGATCGTCTTGATCGCGTAGCTTTGGCGAAAGCAGGCGTCACAGTCTGCAACGTCCCAGACTACGGCACGGCTGAGATTGCAGACCACTCCATCGGACTTATGCTTTCTATGCGACGTGGAATTCTCCTCCACAACGAACGTCAACGAGCTACTCCTCCCGACCCATGGATGCCGATCGAGACACCACTTGTAGCTCGTCTGCAGCAATCAACCTTCGGCGTGTTTGGTCTTGGTCGAATTGGAACAGCTGCAGCTCTAAGAGCGAAAGCTTTCGGTTTTAATGTTCTCTTCTACGATCCGTACCTGCCCAACGGGGTTGATAAGAGCTTGGGCATGGAAAGAACGAAGGATGTCAAAGAGCTGTTCCGGAGAAGCAATGTCCTAAGTTTACACTCGCCCTGCACGAGAGAAACGCGAGGCTATATTGGCTATGAACTGCTGTCACTGCTGCCAAAAGGCGCAGTATTGGTGAACACCTCGCGTGGAGAAGTTTTGCAGCTCGATGCCGTGGAACGCTGCCTAAAGGAGAACATTATTTCAGGAGCAGGCTTGGACGTTCTACCGGAGGAACCCATTCCAGAAGACAGGGTACATCCTCTTGTCCAAGCATATCGTAACAAGGAGCCGTGGCTAGAAGGCCGCATGGTAATCACTTGTCACACAGCGTTCTACAGCCCGGAATCATTTGTCGACATCCGCGTGAAAAGCTGCGAGACATTGCGGGATGTACTCATAGATGGGGGCAACAGCAATGTCATCACTCTAGAGATGGAGTAGATATTACCACTTCGTTCAGCTTTTTATACAACACAGATGGCTATGGTCCATCATTGCAGCACTCCCTCTCATGGCGCCCTCAAATTTTCCGGAGTGTCATCTTGATGCTTCCAGTCACCCTTCACAAATTCAGGCAAAACCTTCAAAGCATCAAACACTCTTACGACATTTGGAACCTTGCTCAAATCCACTTCCCACCTCAAGGCATTTTCAATAGCTGGGGCCAAACATACATCGGCCAGCGTGACCTCATCCCCCACCGAGTACTTCCCAGCGGTTCCCTTCAAGAAGCTTTCATAAGCAGTCAAAGGTGACTCCATCATTTCCTGAAACCATTGCTGATTCGTGACACCTAGACCATTGAGCCTTTTCACAATCCTCAGGTTGGTCGGAGGCTGAATATCGCAGGCAATAATACCAACCAATTCCCTCACTCGAGCTCGAAGAAGAGGCTGGCTTGCTCGCGGTAGAAGAGGCCGACTCGTTGGGAACGCCTCCTCCAGAAACTCAAGAATAGCAACCGATTGTGTGATCGTCGCTACTGTTTTCCCCGAAGCATCCCTGACCACGAGAGCTGGAACAAGTCCACTCGGATTAACCTGATCGATATATGGCCCTGCCTTCTGCTCTCCTGCTACAAGATTAACGAACTTGTAGTCAAGTGGAATGTCCTTGAGATGACAAGCTGTTCTGACACGACATGAGCAGGAAGATCGGAAATATGTGTAGAGCGTGAGGCCGAGTTCGCTCATGGTGTCGAAGCTGTGAAGGAGGTTTTGGAATGCTGCATACTCACCACAGCTATAGGTATACTTGACACACATGTACTATAGTACAGAGAGGAGAGTGCGGAGTTTGGTCACACAGAACGGAAACGATGGCCATACCATGTGATCAAATGCCGGACTTGTTCCGCAGTATAGCGGAAGATGTGGAGGCCTTCAAGAGATGGGATCAACCCACCAAAAGGTATGTTATTGAACAGTTTAGAAATTGGGGATGTTTTATCTTTTGAGGTCCTCTTCTGCCGTTGCTCAACTCAAATGGCAAAGGCAGAGCTCCATGTCCAGACTCATTCATTACATACGCGGTTCTAAATGGACGCGAAAGGACAGCGACTGTACAAATTCTTTTCAATGAAATCTGTTGATCGTATACTTCATGTTCGTTCATCATACATTACTTCTCCATCTCCTTCGCCCTTTTTCGTACTGTTCATAAGATTTTCTGTGGAAGTAAAGCGGTGGAGCTACAACGAACCGCCGACTCCACAATTCCCGTATCCTTCCCAACTTCAGCTAATACTGAGTTAATATCACTTATTCCGCAACGCACATCTTTACATCTGCGCAGCAAGGTAAGCAGCACCACCGAAAAGTGCAGCAGCACCGATAGCACCAGTGACTTGAGCGGCACCTGCGGAGGAGGTAGCATCAGCTGCAGATTGGCTCGCAGAGCTAAGCGCATCACTTGGGGCAGTAGTGTATCCCTCGGCGACCGCGTCCGTTGTGGTAACGATCATGCTGGTGCCAGTTGGAGTGGGAACGCCGGAGGTGTATGGAACCATGCCTGAGCTGGCGCCAGAGTAGGCAACAACTGGGTTGTCGTCATCTGGGTTGGCGGCGAGGGTGGAGTTGGGGTTCAGGACGGAGTCAATGACGTGAAGCACACCGTTGGCAAGGAGAACGTCGGCGGCAATGACGCGGGCCTGGTTGACGAACACTTCACCATCATCGATGGTGATATTCAATGGCTGACCAGAAGAGGAGTCGACGCTGGTGCCGTTGGACAGAAGGCTAGAGTATGCGACGGTGCCGTTGATAACGTGGTATTGGAGGATTGCAGCAGCCTGCTCAGCAGTCAGGTTGCTAAGTGCAGAGCCGATGGCCTCGAAAGCCTCATTCGCTGGTGCAAAGATGGTGATGTCCTGTAAAATGTTAGATAATGCTCGAAACGATGTCGCGAAGCTTTGAGCTTACAGTGGCCGAATCAATGGTGTCAGTCAGGTTGGTAGCCTCAAGCGCGCCAGCAAGAGCAGTAAGGCCGGCAGCAAGTGCAACAGTAGATGCGTTTGGTGGGATATACAGAATGTTGTCGACGATGTGGACAACACCATTGGTGATATTAACGTCGGCCGTGGTTACATTTGCAGTGAAGCCGAGGCCAGAGGAGACCGTGACAGTGTCATCTTGTGCTCGTACTTTTGCGACTTGGCCACCAGTTACATTGGTGAAGGACTCGTTGGTGAGCAGAGAGTGGGGGAATATTGGTGTTTCGGAGATGTTGGCAGCGTAGACAGTGCCATTGAAGACGTGGTAGCTCAAGAACGCAGCGAGGTAGCCTGGCATGGCTTGCAATGCGGTGAATTCCTCATTTTGAGCCAATGGCTGGAGAGCAGAGTTTCTAGGCGCGAAGATCGTAATGTTGGAGGCATTGGCAAGAGTTGCAACCACTGACACAGTTAGTGAAAAGGTCAGTATGTCTCATGGGTCTAAACAGACTTACAATCTGGGTTCTCGCCTAGCAAGCTATTGAGGATGGACAGCTCCTCAGTGCTGTTGAGGGCGGCAGTGAGGTTTGGGGTCTGCTGTGCTGATGAGAGAGAAGCGACAGCAGCCGCAGTGACGAGTGTCTTGAATTGCATCTTGTCTTATTTTGGGAAAGAGATGAAGGGAAGCACTTGACCTGAGGTAGCTGACAGATCCGCAACTTACCAGGCGCTCTCTCTTACTTATCAAAACATGCTGCCAGACTAGAGCAACCTCGCCTGACGTGGGCCACGATATAGTGGAGCTCTATGGCAGAGTCTCCCGAAGCTTGTAGCAGTGAGCGTGCCGTTCATTCGTCCAGAGCATTGTGCACAGCCTGCCTTTTGCCATTGTCAAGGATCAATGGCGTTTTCCCGCGTCGGCTAGCTTTTCCCGATCCCACGAGTCATCACAGTAGTCCATTGAGCTGTCAAGATCCTGCAGGTATTGTTTCAAAGAAGTCATCACAGAGGGGTAGATGTTTGTGTACCCTGGACAGCCAGATGCTGGATTGATTTCACAGCTTCATCACTGGCAGAATCCCGAAGCTCCATGAGCTCTTGGTGGAACAGCAAGCAGTTGCATAGTGGCCATGGTTCGTTTCCGTGTGTTGTTGTGCATCGTAACACACAAGCCGTGGTTGAAGTAAGGTGACGTCTATGATTTTCCACAAAGGATCTCCAAAACAGATCTTCCCCACAAAATCGTCTTGGCTACAGGGGCGAGAGGTGAGCTGAACCTAAGATGCGGCCGAAACGTGCTTGCCAAGCAAGTCCGGGACACACCTTTCCACTACCTGGCAGCCCAGGCCGCGGACTGACGCGTCAATCGCATTGGCAGTCATGAGGCCATGGCAAAAATCTTGCTTGGGCTTTGCCACAGGCGTTTAGCCCTTCACACGGGGAGCCGCTGAAGCAGCCAAGCAAATAATGTGTGAAGCTCTAACGATCTCCAAAGTGGAGTATGGAGTCGAAGATTGCCTCCATATGCTGTCTGAAGTACAGCTGTGCATTGTTTGGCTCGACCTATGGCGAAATCTTGCCGAGAAGTGGGCAACTCTTTCTCGAAAACTCGCATGAAATTCCGAGCTCGATCCTGTGCATGTAGATGTGTTGTCCGGATCGCCCGTTGAGCCAAGTCTCAATTGCAACCAGCATAGCGAGGTAATTACCAATCGCTAGAACCGCGGTCTGTACCAGTCAGAATGGCGACCTTTCCTTCTGAGTCTAGTCAATTATGCCTGACCACCGGAAAGAATTTGCGCTGTCGAAGGTCGCACCGTGCAAGTGGCTTGGCTCTTCTTGGACGGCATTGCGAGAAAACGCAGCATCATGTAGCTAGTAGCCATGCAAGATGAATATTCCTTTCATAGCTCACGTCAACTCGAAGCACGACGTGCCATGGCGGCATTAAATCGAAAAGATGCCATTGTGTCGAGGGCACTTTTGCTTCTCGCTCGTACAATACCATAACATGGCTCCAATGGCTCGTTTCGACGCAGGAAGTAGTTCGTGGACCTCTTAGAGGTTTGGTTCCTGGGTTATCGTGCTGCAATTCGCTCAGCAAAAGTCTTGGCTGTCATCTTACCGCTGATGCCGTTGGGGGCATGTGCGCCGCCCAGCTTGAGGATGCTTGATCGCAAGTGTAGTCTATCGAGGATGATTTGGAGAAAGAGAACGAGTTGAAAGGGCACGCAGTCCTAGGATATCGCTTTCCGAGGCAATCTCGCACGGGTCCCCAAAGTGCCAAGGCCGCGCAATCAACATGGCAGAATCTTGGGTGAGCTGCACAAAGCACGAATGTGAGGAGCCGAATGACTTTTGGATGGTGATGCATGTATGATGCTTGTCAAAACCACTTCCAAGAGCCTATCATTTCTGCAATCATCACTTCTCCCAAGGTCGGAGTCCCTCGGCCACTTCCGAAAATCTAGGTATACACGCTTCCCACAGTTCTACACCGGCTGCAGCTTCCAAAAAAGACTACAGAATGCAATCTTCTCAGTCACTTCTGACTGCTCCTGCATAGCTCTGCTTAGCTAGCATCTTGTCAGGACTGCAGCTGCCCTCTGGATACTGCAGCGGATAGACGCCATCGCCAGAGACCACATCCGGCCCAGGAAAAGGATATTTGAGCTCTGCAGTCGCATGAGGTGTTTGGCAGTCATTGCCGTCATCCGCGACGAACATAAGTGGTCGAGACCCATACGAAACCGCGCGAGGCATTTTGGCGGAATAAGTCTGAGGCTCTGCCGGTGTGATGTTGACAGCCGCGCAGTTCATGTTCAGCTCCTGTTCGCGATTGTACCAGATCCACGCGAAGAGCTGTACGCCGATGTCCAGGTCGCTCGGAACTCTGAACTCGAAGTTCTGGCCCTGTGTTCCGCTGCTGGGCTGATTGCGGTGTGGACAATTGCCTTCATAGCTTGTGGCGACGCGGAACGTTTTGCCCTTGTCAACAGAGAAGCCGACTTGACACGAACCGCCGTAGTGATTGCCGATGCCGGTCATGTTCCAGTATGCTATGGTTCCTGCCTTCCAGGTCGCTGTCGGAGCACCATCAGGCGTGTCTAGGAGCTTCTCGTAGCCACGACCTAGAACCGTCAGTGACAGACCGTCACATGGCTCGCTTAGGTGGTATTCTTACAGGGATATGACCACCGATCGTTCTCGCCACAGCAGTCGTATGGATACTGTAGATACACATCGGGTGGCGTAGTGCGGTGCGGGTTGTTAGAGCCATTAAATGGCGCTGGGTACGCGAGCATCATGTGTGCTCTTGCCAGCGAGGCGAGACCGAGATTCGCGAAAAGAGCGCTGGCGAGCGAGGGCATCATTTTGCTTGCCTCGAGGGGTATGGTTAAAGGTTTGGAGTCTTTGCGCTCGGGGGAAAGATGATGATTTTGCGGACCAGCCGAGGTGCCTAGTGCCTTAACGTGTTTGCAAAGTTGGGTTGCAGGCATGAAGCAAGGCGCGTGCTCCTTCTGATGCTAGGGAGAAGCAGAACCAGCTTACATTCACGATACCTACCGTAAATGCGCAGCCATTCACTATTTATTGTGCTGTTCACTCGTAATTCCGTCTTGCGCGATTGACTGGAACTGATGTCTCAGAAGTCCATGTTCCACAAGCTCTTCTGGCGTCTGCGTGCGGCAGCCTGCAACGGTCGCACTGCTATGCTTGTGCCGTGGTTCGTTAGCGAGATACTCCTGGGCGGCAAGCATTCTCACTGTGGAGTGCAGGCTAAGCAGACATGACAGCATGTGACGGATGGATGTTTGGATAAATGGAATGTTGGTGAGAAAGGAGAACAGCCGGAGAGAAATGACATGCTCGGCGACAAGGAATATTCTATTCCAGCCTCGTCAGCCACGTGGGCGGCCAGATCCGATCCGATTTCCCGCAATGGATGTCCTGCGCTGCGCTTTAGACTCCGAATGGTGCTGAGTAGCAGCGCGTGGCAGTGGTAGTGACAGCTCAACGTCATGTCTAGTTTGTCTGCAAAGTATATATACATAGACCTCTAGGGCGCCCGGCGCGTTGAGAGGAGCCCGAATCCCCTATCTCTTGTCATGGCTATGCGGCACCACGGAACGCCCTATTCGATTCGACAAGCTCTGCAAAAATGCTACCTAGAGTATACCCGGCCGAGACCAAGCACACTTGCGCAGAGACGAGCCTTCCACGACTACTTCGTGACGCATTTGCCTTCGACTTCTCTTTCGCCAGACAAATCAGGTCCAAGCCATCATAAGCTGCCGCGGTCACAATCGAAGCCTCACGAGGGACCCTCGCCGAGAAGCTCTCAGCTGCCGAGCACAGCACCATCACGCGAAACGACAGTCGTTCGGATACCACTCAAGAGTGCAAAGCATCATTTTGGTGCCGGTGTCAGTAGAGGCAGCAGGCCGTACAATGAAGACACATATCAAGCTGGAACGGTGGAAATACCGGCCTTTGCGAAGAAGCAGCCCGTCAGCATAAGCGGCAAGCGTGACATCTCACAAGGCATAGCTTCCACTCGAGACACCGGCGACCCACAGGTTTTCTACTTTGCCGTGTTCGATGGTCATGGCGGCAGTGAGTGCTCAGAGTTCTTGCGCGATAGACTACACGGCTACATTGAGGAGGCAGCTCTCCTCTTCGGCATGGAGAGCACACTTCGGAAGGAAGACGGACAGGATGTCTATTACTCGGACGGCGGCATTATGGGTGAGCAGGATCCAGAGGACTTACAGAAGAGCCTCGTGAGCTCGTGGAAAGAGACCGTTGGTGGCTACTTCAAAAGATTCAAGCCAGAGTACTTTCCAGCTGTGTCTGGAGAAGGCGAAGCGTCTGCGAGTAACAATAGTTCTATCGAGACGGTCCTCACGTACGCCTTCTTGAAGGCAGATTTAGATTTCACGACTGCCCAGGCAGCAAAACACAGCAAAGATGCAGGCTCACAGGAAGCAACACTTCGCGAGAGATTATCCTCGATGAACGACCCTGTCATGGACGATCGTCCGCTCAATGATGAGGACATGCTTTTCCATCCTGATCGGGAAGCCTCGCAAAATTTGCGAAGAAGACCAGCGCCGCGAGGCTCCTCGCCTGACCTTGATGAGGCAATTGGTGGCAGCACGCGATTCAAAGGAGGCTCGACAGCGTCGGTAGCACTGGTCTCAACTCCCACGCCAACTCCCTTCTGGCACCCGAACAGTCCATGCACGCTCATAGCAGCGCATGTTGGAGATACCAGGATCCTACTGTGCCGCACGAGCGACGGAGCCGCTGTGCCGATCACGGCTAATCATCACCCTTCCATGCCGACCGAGGCCAGTCGACTTCGAAGATATGCTGCCTCCTTCGTCACAGATAGCTTCGGCGAGGAAAGAGTCCTGGGGCTGGCAAACACTCGTGCATTTGGCGACATTGGCAGCAAACGCATCGGCGTCTCAGCCGAGCCGCAGCTCACTACTGTGGAGATTCCCCCAGCAGGGTACGCATTCATCGTGCTCGTCTCCGATGGCGTGTCTGGCCATCTCGAGGACCAAGAGATTGTCGATATTGTGAAAGAAGCGAAGACGCCTGATCAGGCCTCGAAAGATTTGGTCAGCTTTGCCGTTGAGACTGCGGGCGATGCGGATAATGCAACTGCCTTGGTCGTTCGCCTCGGTGGCTGGGAGAGAAGGAACGAAGGCGGAGGTGGAAGTCTTGGCACGAAAGAGCAGAGAGATTACCGGAAGCGGGAAGCTGACGATCCTAGAGCGAGGCGGCAATAGTATTGACGAACTCTGGTCATCTAGGACATCTGCGTGAAACGAGACCTGCAAAATCTTCTTGGATGAATTCATCACGTTCTCTGTCTATACTTCTGGTCCAGCTCTATGTCGTGCCCCAGGTTCAAGCCACGATGCCACCAACCTTAGGAAGACAATGGTCGATGGTTTCCATCCGGTGACCACATATATCCGATAATTTCAACTGTCACTATTTCAGCTCTCTCAAACGTTATCGCACCGCTTTCCACAAGGGGCTTCAAAATTCCGCGTAGCGACTGTTTATCCACATATCGCCAATCTCCATCCAACAACCACGCCGCATCTTTCCAAGCACCTTCCAACCTCGAGGCTCGGGTCTTCTCCTGCCCGAGTTCCTGCCGCAGTGAGAACTCTAGGTCAGTGGCTTTCTTGTCCATGGCGAGGAGGGCGAGCTTTTCAGCTTCCAGAACCCGAATCTTCTGTCTTGCTCCCGAAAGCTTCTCTCTTGCGACGGCAAGCTCAATACCAGGCTCAAACTTCGTCTGGAAAGCCTTGTTCAGTTCTTTGACGCGGAGCTTTAGCTGGTCGTTCTGAAGTGCGAGCTTCGAGAGAGATGTGGTCAATCTCCACAACGTCCTGTTTTTCTGCGCCTGGAGCTTAGCGTAGCCCGACTTGTCCTGGTCTCTCGTGGCTTGGAACCAGTCTCGCTGCTGAGACAGAAGGCAGTTGCTTTGGACTGCGGTGATCCATCGGTGGCCTTTGCGGTATTTGTCGATTTTGAGGATTTCGAGCTCATAGTTTGCTCTCTTCAACAAACTTCGCACAGAATCAGCGCACTTGCGAAGCTCTTGTTGACGCTTTTCCGAAGCCTGAATTTCTTGGCAAAGCTGCTTGTTCACCTCATGCTCCTTGTTGAGATTCAGCTCGAGAGTGCTGTTTGCACGCCGGAGGCTGCCGTTTTCCCTGTACGCTTCGTTCACTTCTCGCTCGGCGAGCACCAAGCTTTCTTGAAGATCCCTGATCTTATTATGGTATCGTTCGATAGACGTGTCTCTTGCCACCTGGGCTTTGTGAAGAGTTTTACTTGAAGGCTCGGGCTCGGGCTCAGGCTGGACGCTGGATGCTTTGAACCAAAACCATACCATTTTCGGAGATGAATTCGCTGGACAACCAGCAATGGAGAATTTTCGTCGTGACTGTTTAAACAATTGGAGTTCAATCGTGGACGTGGCCGTCTGCAAGCAATATACATTAACTTCGTCCCAAGACACAATCTCGAAAACTGGAACAGCGCGACTGATGTCTGAGATCAAATTCGTCTCGTGTCAGGATCGAACAATCTCTGTTCAAGTCCGAAGCTCTGTCTCTGCGCAACACGATACAACTGAGAGGTGAAGGAGACACCAGAGATGGCACACAGAGCACAGCCGTATCAGCCCCGACTGCTGTACTCACGGCTAATAATCTGGAGCTGCGTTATGGAGCATGACCTGGCAATTCGCAACGAAACACTTTCAATATCGATTCGATTCTAGTATGAGAAAGCTAGCTCCGAGGCCGATGAGCCTGCGATCAGTCATTCGAATGACCCCCTTAGGCACGCCCCCTGTGCCTTCTTCTCAATCCCCGTCACGATACCGCTTCAATACCCCGAGCTCGTCTCTCGGATCATGATTCTCGCGCACCAATTCCTCATTCATGTCCGCTAGCTCGTCGTGCCGCCGCTGGGCGGTCGCGAGCGCCAGTTCTAGCGCCTCCGCATTCGATACGATCATCTCGGTCCGCTCATTAACAAGTTCTAGCGAGGCCTGCAATTTCTGCAATCTCGAGTTGAACTTCCTCATATTTTGTCTCAGCCACGTCGAGCTGCTCCCGCGACAGAAAGGCGTCATGCTGGTACATGTCGGACATGGAGTCTTGGGAGTTGTATTTGGGGACGAGGCTGTTGCATTGTTCGACGAGGAGCTGGAGCCGGCACTCGAGATCATGTTTCTTCTCGCTCGAATCTTGTGATGGTGTCGTCCTTCAAGATGTCAAATTCGGTTCCTGCCATTTCAAGAGCCTGGGGCCCCGATTTAGGAGCCTGAAAGAGGAGCCGTGCCGTCTCTTGGATTCTCAAAGGCGTGTCGCAGTCGCGCGCGAAGAAAGCACTGGTACAGTCTGCGAATATCTGGAAGTCAACATGCGACAATTGTTGAGATGGTCTGTTTCGCGACAACAAAAGTGCATGAGACAACTGCACGCCACGCCACAATCAAGGTCACCAACATGTCTCGGGGCGATGCGAGTCAAACAAGGGAACTCTCCGCCAAGATGCTCATTTGCCTCAGCAATTGATATCCTACCTCGACACCTTCTTGACAGTGTTCTTTTGCACCCCAGTCCTACCTGTACATCTCAAGCTGTCCACAACCTCCACTGCGTGTACCTAATCGTCAAGAGCTATCGGTGCTCTAGACGTAGCGCCCTTCAGGCTCAGCCTAATCCGCTTTGCGCGACGTTGCTCCTCTCCCTCTTCGGCCTTCAGCAAGTGCTTCGATGTGCTCCGCATATTGTCGAGTGCTTTGCCCAGAAGACCGGCCGTGGCCTCGTTGAAGGCGCTGAACTCGGGCTTAGACAGCTCAGCGGCTGCTTGCTTGACCTCTTCCACGCCCTTCCGCACACGATCGACATCATCACGAGCCTCCTCCGCTTCCGTTGTAGCTTGCAGTATTGTGGCCTCGGCTGCCTCCAGACGCTCCTCAAAGTCGTTGCACTTGCGGCGAAGCTGCTTGATCTGGTCGTCCCGCTTCGCGTCCTCTCTACGCTGGTCCTTGTGACCCTGGACGTAGCATTTCTTGGCCTCATCGTACTTCATCTTGAGACTATCGCGCTCCTCTTCCAGCTTGATCAGCTTCTCCTGATACTCATCGATGGTCTTCTGGCCCTGGACGTAGGACTTCTTGGCTTCGTCGTACTTCGCCTTGAAGCTGTCGCGCTCCTCTTCCAGCTTGATGAGCTTCTCCTGATGCTCGTCGATAGTCTTCTGCTTCCTCGTGCTGTCACTCTGGGCTGTCTTGAGTTGCTCGCTGATGTGCAGGACTTGGTGCTCATGGTCCTGGATTTCCTTGTTGAGCTTTTTAAGCACGGGCTGGGCGCTGAGCAGCCATTCTCGCATCTGCTCGAGGGAATCCATGGTCGCTGGCCGAAGGAGCGCCAGTGGAAGCGCCAATGGTGGTGACGGCCATGCAATGAGTTAAAATTCGCGACTAGAAGAGCTTCATGTTTGTTTTGATGGTCCGTGAGCCTACAGCATTGGCAGAACTGAGCATGCAGAGGCGCAACGGTCGAGCATGAGAGCTTGGGATGGACAGGATCGTGGAATTGCCGACTTCATTTTGTGGCACCGCCAAAGGCACAACAGTGCATGTCATCACGTCGAATTAAGAATATACGCAAGCTCCGTCTCTTGCGTGCAGGTTCTGTCCAGGCGTTTTGTGGCAGCCGTTGCCCAGGCATCCCGCACTTTCCTCTGTTGCATGTGAAAGTGACATTTTTTCCCGAAGCAACACTTGCACTACGGAGTCCAGGTGAGCTCACTCGTGGTATCAACACTTTCGACCTAGTCGGAATCTATCTCAATGACTTCCTCCGCTGCTCCCACAACCTCATCCTCACCCGCGCTGTCGCTCGCCTCGACGTCGGGGGCGCGACAGCTGTCCTCCTCCCGCATCTCCGTCGCTCTTCTGCGCTTCTCGCTCAGGCCGCCGTCCTCGATCGGAGCTGGTCGTTTCAGGCGCTCTCTATATCTCTCGAACACCTCGGTCGCCTCATTGGAGAAGCATCCGGCGTTGCCAAAGATTCCCAGCAGAGCTTTAGCATCCTCCTCCCATTCGCCACGATTCAGCAGCCCCGTTGCTTCGGAGCTTCGTGAGGTGAGACGGAGCTGCTCACCTCGCCCAAAACATTTTTGACATTCCATTTTCAGAATCGCCACGCCGTTGGTATCTCGACCAACTGCTTTCGTGCTTGTTGCTCGTCGCTCGTCCAAAGTCAGATGACAGCGAGGATGCTGCTGATCTTCACCCAGCTCGCCAGCAACTCCATACTTCGTCAAACACCACGGCCTCCAGCATCATGCCGGTCTACTGCATAACTAGCGAGAATGGTTCCAGCAGGAATAACGTACGCACTTCACCTGGCAAACAGAAAGATAAGAAGAGTTTCGCGCAAAGGCGACCGGGTTGCATGATCCATTTATGCCACAAACTGTAGAGGTATAGAGTAGTAGCATGCTTTCAAGCAATTCGTCCATCCAAATACACACTCCATAATTACGCACGTTCGTATCCTTGCATAACAAAAAGTACACGCCCACCCTAATAGGCGCCGCTATTGGACAAGCGCCTCTTGTCGAAACGCCAGTATGATGCTGTGAAATCTCGATCTGCTCGCTTGCTCGCTGTAAAACTTCATAATGCAAATGTTCCACTTCGCCCGATTCAGATCGGCCGACCAGTGAAGAGCGCGGAGGCGAAGGTTCCGAAATCAGCGACATTCGATGGTGCCGCTGCCAACGCCAGCCATGTTCCAGGACAGAAGCGATTCAAGCTGCCCCTACGTCTTGTATGACGAAGGCTGGCTATCGGTCTTGCTTCCAGGCGCAACGTCGCCGTTACTAATGTCGAGACATCTTCTTGCCAGCACAACAACTTCGCCTTCGCCATCTTCGCTCTCGTCGCCTTCGTCTTCAGATTCGACAGTCTTCTCGCTGATTTCGCGGACCATCTTCATGACATCTTCAGACTTCTTGATCATGTCCGTAAGTTCCTCGTCTCCAGATTCCAGAAGTTGTAAGAGTGTCCAAATTGCAATATGTTGGAAGGTTGGATCTCCTGAGGCCAAGAACCTATTCAAGTACCCGTGGATACCACCAGATGGCTGATTCCAAGATGAGCGGAAGAGGGTGTAGTCACCAACTGCAAGTCATTAGCACTTTCCGGAGAGACGGTGAATGCCGAGCTTACCTTTGCTGCTCAAGTTGCCAAGGGCTGCCGCGCTATTGCCTTGCACCTCGATACTTTCGCTCTCGGTCAAGGGAATGAGAACTTCAAAGACACCAAGATCCAATAGCTGTGGCTTCAAGTCGTCTGAAAGAGCGAGCACTGCAATCGCAGCAGTCATCTCTGATTGCACGCTGAGTGGTACATCTAGCACAAGCTCCTTGCATTTGACCACTGCTCCCGCCTGGAGGACTAGCTGCTTGTTCCGATCCGATGACGCGGCCAAGTTTCGCAGCGTTGATATAGCATGGCATTGAATCTCCTCGTTGTCAGTCGATCCAAGCAGGTCCACCAGAGGCTTTAGGAAGCCAGCATCGATGATTGGTGACTCGTTCATTGGGTGTATGCTGATGTTCCGTATGCACGCGACTGCAGAGAGAATGAGAGGCAGATAGCTGCTTTGTAGCAAGCCCAGTAACGGTGGCAAACCTCCTGCTTTGACAATCTCCAACTGGTACTTCTCATCACTGGCCAAGTTCCGAAGTGCCAGTGCTGCTTGACATTGAACCTTCGGCGCCTGCCCTCTCATCAAGTGTACCAGGCTTTGCACCAGTCTGGGCTCGGTTTGCGCGAGTCGCTTGCGGTTCGTGCTATCAACTGCGATATTGCTCAAGGCTGTCGTACAGTAGTATTGCACATCGGTGTCTGGACTGCTGAGAAGACTGACAAGCACTGGTATCGCGCCGGCTGAGACAAGCTGTTGCCGGTTGTCGTCCGAATGTGTCATGTTCAGGAGAGCGCCAGTGGCGTTGCGCTGCACTCGCATATCCTTGCTCTTGGCAAGTCTGGTCAGCGGCGCCAATGCGCCAGATCGTGCTATACGTGCTTTGTTTTCCTCGTGTGTGGCCAGGTTTGTTATACAGCCGACCGCATTACATTGCACTTCCACGTTCTGGCTGTTCATCTGCCGGATGAGCGGGTTGAGGCCGCCGAGCGAGACGATGAGAGTCTTGTTTTGTCCATCAACGGCAAGATTGCCAAGGGCAGCCGAGGCAGCACGTTGGACTTCGATGTCGCTACTTTCGAGGAGGAAGAGGATGGGCTCGAGCGTTTGTCTATCGACGGGGCGGACATCTGGGCGTATCCACGTTAGCGAAAAGCCATCTGCTGATTGCATGCCACGACATGCCTCTTTCTGTGATTTCGGCAAATGTCAAACTTGCGCTCCGCTGCAGGTCAATGTTCTGGCTGTATACGAGGGTTGAGAGTGCGTTTAACGGCTCGCCCGAGAAGAAGTCTGTTTCTGCTCTCTGTGTCTCCACCATTAGCCAAGGCACGCGCGAGGATGGATCGATGAGGTAGGTGTAGCTTTACGTTTTCGAGGTAGTTGAGGAGGTCGGCGACAGCTTCGCGCTCTGAATCTGCTAGCACATTATCGTAGTCGACCTTCGCGCGGCCTGTGCGACAGTCAGCATCTGGCATTCATGTTCGGCGACCAGGCCGAGTCGCGGGCTTCGAGGCGCGGAGGAGGAGGAGGGTTGCTTACTGCCGCAGCACGAAAAGAGCCTTCGACAGAGGTCGGCCATGGCCATGCTGCATGGGCGGCAGCGGCAGCAGCCTGGGTTGGGTTGGGTTGGTGTTCGCGGATGAGGTGTTTTCGGTTGGTCGTAGGCAAAGCTGAGCTGAGCTATGGTCGAGTTGTGCGTGTGCGTGTGCGTGTGCTTGTGCCTGAGCTGGGCTATCACGATGCTGGCGTCATGTGAATGTGAATGCGAAGAAGGATGCCGCTCGCTTCTGCTCCGTATTGGTCGTCCCACGCGCTCACAAGATCTCGGCGTGGCAGCACACCATCTCTATCGCGCGCTGGCAGTCTCTACTGAGTCTACTCTGCCCGCCAGAACGGCCATCGCGATACATTGCCGCTTCTCAACCAACTCCACTCCCCGCCCACAGCAAGCACCAGCCTGGTCATCCAGTCTGTGCGCTGCCGCTGCCGCTGCCGCTGCCGCTGCCGCTGCGGCCCGCGTGCTGCAATGTTTCTTCCAAACGTACCTTTCCGTTCGACACTACTCACACACGATAACGATATTGATCCCTCAGGGAACACGCGCAGAGTGCAGCATTATCTGATCAGAGAATATGCAGCCCTCGAAAGTGGCTTGCGCTCGGGCAGCATCGAGGCTCAACTGCTGCTGCCAGCCGTCTAGCTCCTGCGTTGCTGCGTTGTCCCGGTATATGCACAGCTATCTGTCATCTCTGACGTACCTTGGCCGTGAAGTTGGTTCGATGTACAGTCTGTCTTCGCGTGTCTGCGAGCCCTTCCATGCCATACTTCATCGCTCCACTGAGGCATTTCTGGTATTTGTCCTCTGACTACACAGCCTCCTTCGCGGGACCCTGCTCTCCCTGCTAGTCACACGACAATAGGTACTTCAGAGCAGTGGTAGCTTGATCCGCCGTCTTTTGATCTGCCCACACTGCATCGGAACAAGCGACCGCCTAGGTGTAGTTGCCCACCCACGTAGACCCCCTCTAACATGCTACCCATCACTAGCTGCGTTTGTTTACACTTCATCTCATCACAAACAAGCCCACACTTGTTGGCATTTCTGAATACCACTGCTTGGTGGTCTTGGCCGCAGAACAGCTGGAGCTCAACAAGCTGCACGAGAACGGATCCCGTTGCTTTTCATGTGATTTGCTTTGGACCGGCTCCGCTCACACTAGAATACACTCTCCGGCTCTCGCTGCATTCCGCTGGCCTGTCAATCCGCCGAAAGTCAGAGTCCATGTCCATCGAGCTTTGCATCTCCAGGCTGCCATGCACGCAGTTCACGCCGACCGAACGGCATCCCTGCGATGGCGACACTTCTCCAGGCGGGACGAGTGCCAAGTGCCACCGCAAATCTTTAATCGAGCCAGGCGGTGTGCGTGCGCTTGATTTCAGCGACCGTGGCACGTTGTCGTAGGTTCTGCGGCGTTGCATCGTGTAAATGCAGCATGCACGAGCGACCCTGGCCTTTTGGAAGATCATCCTAACGTTACTAGCTTGTCCCGTGGCTCCCGCTCTGCAGCAAAGACGTCTTGGACGGAGGCTTACCGCAGTTTCTGAATGATGTTCGATCGGTGCTGAGCTTCTCATTTGTTGTTCGGCTCTCACCGTGGATCGTGCTTCGCGGACCGCATCGCATAGCGGAGAGACAAGGCCTGGCCAGCCAGCTCCGAGCTCAAGACTCCACACACTTCCGTCTTGGGCTTTGTGCTCCAAAAGTCATACGTGCACCAAATGGACTGAGACGCCAAAGCACACACACGCCCTTCAAGGTTGAGGCTGTACAGTCCGCGCCAAGACTCCTTGTTCCTTGGCAAGTCCGTCATCCCTTATTATGGCTCTTGCTGGCTCGATAAAGACTGATTCACGGTTCGCCTGCCCCTCTTTGGCTCTGCCTGAGGATTGGATCATTCCACCGCTGCGGACCAGTCCCAGCACCATTACTGCCTGCGCCGGGGTTACTTAACAGCCATACAGTTTGACTACATTGCCAAATGCATGGGTGGCCACTAGTTCATATAAGAAACGCTTCGTCCATTGTTCGCTGCTGCTGTGCTGCCGAGCAAAGCTGTGTTTCTTGGACGTCCATGCTGCTTCCGAACCCAAGCGCGACTCCACACCCCACACAATAACAGCAGTGGCATCGCAGCCTTTTATGGCCGCATACGACATTCAGAAGCACTTTAGCGGTCTCCGAGTCCAAACCGCACGCCGACGCGGTCGACCTGATCCCTTTGCGACGGGCTTCGAAGATGATAGTGAGGAAGAGGACAGGAAGAGCAGACCCAAGACCAAGGCACTGCCCGTGGTCAAGCCGTCGCCATCACCGCGACCGCCCCGAGCACCGTCCGCGAGCAAGAGCGTGAGCTCCCCCTTTGCATCCATTGACGCCTTTCGCGACAGCGACGATGACTTCCTAGACGACGTCCCCACAAAGAAAAGATCCGACCGCCGTCCCAGTCCAGCACCTCGGAGAGTCGCCGCAGTAGCGCGCGTGATCGACGGATCAGGCCGGCGTGGCAGTCTCCCGGCGCTCAGTGAGGCGAAAAAGGCTGCAGCGCTCGCAGCAGGCAATTTGGCATACCTTGACGACAGTTCTGACGACGAGACATACTCCAACTCCACTACTCGCACTGGTCGCGGCGCAAGCCCGGCTCCGTCAACCAAACACAGAGGCTCAGATCCTACCGACGGTCTCCCGCGCTCGTCCACGCCGCACGGCACTCGACTACCTGCTGTTGCCGAAACATCACCCAGGCACAATTCTGCTGTAGCTGTTCCTCTTCATACTGTCGCGTCGCCCTTCGCTGGAACTGTAAGTCGAACATGAATCACGTGATCATGAAATCTCGCGCTAACTTAGCTTCCCCAGAAATACCTGGAAGATAGCGATTCTGACGAAGAAGCCGTCGCTTCCCGCAAAGGCAGTGCGGAGGAAGTCAACCCTGACGACCTTCTGAAAGTGGTAGACCCGCTGAAAAAGAGCCACGAAGTGCAGAGGGTCGACAAGCCGAAGCAGAATGGTTCCGGCGTCTCCTGGAGAGCCTTCTCAGCCAGCCGCGCCGAACAGCGCACCGCCGAGATCGAGGCTCTCCAGGCAAATCTTAGCAAGCGTGGAAGAGCAATATCCTTCTGCCCAACTGCGCGAACCGACGACGGCCGAAGAATCCCTCTTTCTTCCTCCGCTGAGCGACAAGGTAGCTTCCTCGGATCTCGCCGACCTGGACAGCCCAGAGCAAAATCTCCACCGCGACGCGCAGAGGATGTCGCCGCTGACCAGGACGAGATGGCTGATCGGGAGTCTTCCATCAGCGGAGGACCTGTCGGAGTCTACGATCCTGCCGAGTTCAAGACGAACCCCTTCACCGGTAAGTCTAACGCGTAAACATCACCCCATGCCATGAATCGCGCCAACATTTGATGTGTAGGAGAGCCGGTCCGCCGGTCGAGCAACGAGGTTAGGGACGAGAAACAATCAGGAAGTGCCGACAGCGTCCCTGACATCCGCATCGATGATATTTCCGTCCAATGAAGAAGCACTGCAATCGCCACTATCGCCACCCGATCTGAGCACGTTGACCGACTCTGTGGAGTCCATAGCTGCAAAATTAATGGTATCGCCGCAGACTATACCCGAGTCGCGTCAAGTGGACCACTCGCTTTCGCCTGTCGCCTCGTCGATTGAGGACATGTACGATCCGTTAAGCCGGAACTCCAGCACGCGATCAATACGGATGCGTCCTCAACGGATTCCTGGTGCAGCCTCTCGACGTTCTTCACGTAGATCGAACTCTGCGCAAACCTCGGTCAGCCCCGCCCATGCATTCCTCGCCAACTGGGGAAAGGGAGATGTGGAAGAGAATGCGACTGAGTCGAAGCCTGACGACGAAGGCCAAAGCATTGGACTGAACAACGAGTACATCATTGGTCGCACGCTCAATCGAGGCGGGTTCGGCGTGGTCAAAGAAGTGCATTCGATCGACGAACACGGCAACCGCACTGTTCGCGCTGTCAAGATTGTACGGAAGAGCATAACTGGGGTCGGCGAGGCAGAAAACGAAAAGGCGCAGCAAGAAGTGGAGCACGAAGTCTCGATATGGCGATACCTCCAGCACCGACATATTCTCAGTCTTCACGCTGTCTATGAGACTGACTTCGCGACTTTCTGCGTCATGGACTTGAACACAGGTGGCACACTTTTCGATCTGGTAAGGAAGTCAAGACAAAATGCTTCCAGCAGCGACGGTCGCAAAGGTCTAGCACCGAAACTGGCGAAGAGTTACGCGTACCAATTAGCTTGCGCGCTGCGATATTTGCATGAGGACATTCGAGTCTGCCACCGCGACGTGAAGCTCGAAAACTGCTTGATCGACATGAGCGTGCCGAATGCTGAATCCGACGGTGGAGTGTTACGACTCTGCGATTTTGGACTTGCAGACTTCTTACACAGCGAGAGCATGGACGAAGGCGCTGTCACAGAGCGCGACATGGAGTATCTGTCACTATCTGGCGAGCTCCCCAAAAGGACCGCGTCCTCCATCATTGGCACACTCGAATACGCGTCGCCGAAGGGGCTCTCCGTTAACCGCAAATTGTTCGAAACAGCCGGCGATGTCTGGGCTTTTGGAGTAATCGTTTACGCGCTTTGTACAGGAGACCTACCGTTCCGACATCCCATGCCCAGCAAAACCGCAGAACTTATTCTTCACGCAGAATGGGATGAATATGCGCTTCGCCATGCCGCAGCGGGCGGAGCTGAAGTCATCGATCTCGTTAAAGGATGCCTGGAGAGAGATATAGATCTGCGCTTCACGATTTCGGAGGCTCTTCGGAGTGAGTGGTTTGAAGGCTGCCGCGAGATGTGCGAGGAAGATTGCGCGAGAGGGCTTTGGGCGTCGTAGAGACCGATCAAATGGCGCAATTGCTCTCAGCGACTCCACGACTGGACGGGGCCTCCGCCAACGAGCTCCTGCATGGCCGTGTCGCGCAAGACATACAACACTGAGCGCCATTGAACCGATTTGGAAAGCTTTTAAAAGGGCATCACCCCGGACGACATTTACGAATTCGCAACATTTCACGGCCTTTGCACATAACTTGCGACATTACCGATACGACGCTTATGACATGACAGGAAAAGAGGAAAGAGGCGGATACAGGCCTCATGGCGCATGGGGAAATTGGAGGCTTCATATTCAGGTGATGACGTGCACACACACACGAAATCACTTCATGTAACTTCATAGTCCGCATCTTTTTGTTCTTCTGATTTGTGCGTTTGAGAATACCCTGAATAAAGGCGGAATAGCGAGCGTGCGAGCGACATTGTGAATACCAATTCTACTCAATTGAAGGGGAAATTTTGAGGCACAAAGACCAACTTTTTAGAACTTGTTTCTCGTGTACCACTATATACCTAACTCGTCTAAAACCTCCTACCAAAAAAAGTCCCTAAAATTACAGTCTCTAATCACTCAATCGTACTTCCACCTCTAATTCGGCATATTGTCATCGTTGATCGGAAGTCGATGCCAACCGGGTCCCATACTCCAATCACCGTGAATGGATTGTCCTTGAACATCGACATAGTCTCCCGGATACCCTCTCTTCGGCACAAGACACTTCTTATCCTGAATTCTGTAGACTGCACAATTGTCTGGAACAGCCCACTCGCCGTCAGGTAAAGTATGGAGTCCCCGCTCCATTCCTCCACACCATTCCTCTCCCGTGAAATCCTTCTGGACTTCGAGACATTCTTCTTGCCAGGTGGAATATACTGCGCAGCAGCGTTGAGTCTGCCAGACGTTGCGGCAGTTGTAGTAGAGGTCGGCACCGTAGGGTTGATCTCTGCAGTCTTTGGGAATGGGAGCACCTTGGACGAACAGGTCTTCTGGAAGTGGAATCGGGTGGTCATAACCTGCTGCTGTTGTGTCGTTTTGGGGTTTCACGAAGCCGTTGGCGTCGATTCGAGGATCTTTGCAGGCTTCGATGGCGGTCCACCAGTTTTCTTCGGGTTTTCCTGGCTCGCCGCATCGGTACTTTCTGGATTGACCGAGACAGGTCATGGGCCATGGGTAGTTGGGATGGCAGGCCCAGTGGCCGTAGTTGATTTTGCAGAACTCTTCGCAGTCGCCGCGGGCGAAGGCGCGTTTGATGACTTTGTCAAGTTGTTTTGGGTGGATGGGAGTATTTCGGAAAGTGTAGACTTTCGGTGGTCCACTCTGGAGGTTTTCGGTCTCCATGAATCCCATAAGAGTATTGTTGTTCAATGAGATTTCATCATCGAAGTGTGACGTGTCGGTGACCGTCTCATAGATGTTGTGTGGCGGTAGCGTAGCTTTGGAGATGGCCGCCGTGGCCAGGAGAAGGCCGAAGAGCGGTGACACGTTGATGAGCCTCATTTTGTCAAGTGTTGTGGGTGCTTTGTATTTTGTCTTTGATGGTCGTAGTACTTGAAGGTGATCGTTGTTGTATAGAGAAAGATTCAGGTAGAGTGTCGAGAGAGTTATTCATATACGAAAGGATTCGCCGAAGTCTTCAGGTCCTCAGCTAAAAAGTGAGAACAGCCTTGAACTGTACCACATTTTGCTCAAAAGCGACGGCTTAAGCTTGTGTCGCGTCAGCAGTCATAGAGCTGTCCTCCACAACCTTGGGCCTGCTATTGGAGAATCTGCGGCAGCGAAGAAAGAACTACATCTCTATGGCTCTGTGAAGAGGTCGTGTCGTAAACAGCAATATGCACGCTCTGCGTTCGATGCTCGAGACCGGGCTGCTGTCCGCAACCTGCGGACCACTGTTCGCACTGTCTAGCGGAGATATCCATGGCGACAACTTCCGCGCATGCTGGCCGTCAGTGCAAGCGTCACGCTGATTCCAATAGGGTGTTCAATCGTGCAGGTCACGCTCCAACGTGACTTCAGGCGTATCGATGCGATAAATAGTCTTAGCAGTGTTGAAGTAAGCCTCATATTCTACCTCGTCGACACCGTCACCCGCTGGGAGGTCGTAATGGTAGTGCCCGCCCCGGTTGGCACCATCTATCGAAAAGCAGTGAGTGTGCTCCATCCGAAGACCTAGCTTTTTGCCTGGATCTGCCGAATGGAAGACTGTCAGGCAGACAATTGGCGCCTCAAAATCGTGGTAGGTCAGCCAGTCGTTGAGCTGCTTGGCATTTTTGAAGGGCATCTGTTTCTTAGGTGGAAAGTCAGGCATGACATGAAAATGTGCTTTGCCAGCCTTGATCAGGAATATGCCTCCCATGCTGATTGGCCGATCATCACCATACTTTTCTGCGAGTGTCTTTCGAATGCATTCGGTGAAGCTCTTGTGATGGCCAGTCCGGGCTCGCGCTGAGATTTTGATCACATCGCCAGGAAGGCCAGAGGAGCCATACAAATTCATCATCAGTGCACAGTCAGTCGTAGGACTTCTTTCGCAGACAGCCGCATGTCTTCCATTGCTGTCATCGAACTTTGTATAGTAGGTCTGATTGACGACATTTTCGAAATTGTTGCTCCAGCTCAGGTTTGGGGCAAGCTCGGAATTGAGACCAATGCGATGGAATGGACCTGCTCCGGCGCCAAGCAAATGGCCTCCATCGGGATCCATTTGCATTTCCTTTGCAATCTCTATCAACGAGTATTTGCATTCCAGTCTTGGCTCAGGAAACAGATTCGGCTGTCCACCAATGTCGGCAACGCATTCATCTCCGGAGAGGCCTGGTGCCGCCAGATAATACGGAGGATGACGAAGATCGGGGCATCGCTCGACGCTGACCTTTGCTTTCTCGAAGTTGGCTCGTAGAGCTGGAGTCAGTACGTCGACAAGCTCTTCCAAAGACGGAGGAGCGATTGGATGCTTAGTGGTATTCATCTTGCGAGGGAGGAGCTGCCGGGTGATGGCTTGAATCCTCTGCATCGAAGAGATGGAAGTAGAACAAAAGAAGATGCCAAGCAGAGAAGGTCCATCATCAGCAATGAAGTCACTAGGCTCCGGCTGACCTTCCAACGCGATATTGTCTGATCTGGTGCTGCGAAGTGTTCGTGTCGGGGGCGAAAGGGAAGAGAAGAGAAGAAAGAGTTGTGGTGGCTGGGGACTATGAGTTCTTGGCCTTCGGTCCGTGCGCCCTTGTGTTCATCAACGGGTCTTCTCGACAGAAGCAACGAACGCCGTCTGGTTCCAAGTGTACTGTATAACACCATCAATATGCATTTCCCACCAAGAACGTCCCGATATCGCTGAATGAGGCAATACTTGGACGAGCTTATCCACGAGTAATTCCTCGGGCCTCCACCAGGGCCTGCCTTTTACCCCTCTTCAGTAACAGAAACCGCCTCCTATACGTTCTACCGGCAGATCGTTATGTTCAGGTCGGATGAGTTTCCCTCTGAAAATTCGTGATCTGCATGCTTCGTCTCGAGGTCGGTTGACTTCTCACCTCACCTGCTTGACTACTTTCCGCTCCAGAATGTGAAGACCTATTGCTGCACATTGACATAGTACCGCTTCTTCCAAGCTTGTGAACCTCTACGACGACCAGCCATGACAGCCGAGTTTCCTATCTATCCAGATCTCAAAGACAAAGTTGCTCTAATCACAGGCATTGGCCAAGTTGGACGACCCAACTCCGAGACCTGGGGCAATGGAGCGGCAGCAGCGAGGATACTCTCTCACAATGGCGTCAAGATCTTTGGCTGCGACCTCAACCTCTCAGCCGCAGAAGACACCAAGAGACGATTACAAAATGACAACCCAAATGCCGTCTGTGATGTTGTCAGCGCCGATGTGACCAACATCAAGGACATTGAAGCATTTGTGAAAGCAGCATTTGAGAAGCACGGCAGAATCGATATCCTCTACAACAATGTCGGCATGACAGCACCTGGAGACCCCGGATCTATCACCGAAGAAGTTTGGCAGAAAATGATCGATCTGAATCTGAATAGTGTCTTTCGATGTTGTCGGCTGGTGTTGCCGATAATGGAGAAGCAAGGTTCTGGAACGATCATCAACAATGCTTCCATCACCGCAATGCGATATATTGGCAAACCTCAAATAGGGTACGCTACGGCGAAAGCCGCAGTGGTCCAATACACGAAAGCTACGGGCTGCATGTATGCATCTAGAGGTGTGCGCATGAACTGTGTCGTTCCTGGTCTTATCTACACGCCTCTAGTCGAGAACTTGGAAATGAGTGATAAGGAGGAGGATCGTGAAGTGGCAAGGAAGATCACTCAGCATAATGTGCCAATGGGTCGGATGGGAGATGGCCACGACGTTGCAAATGGTGTGGCATTTTTGGCGAGTAATGTGTCCAGATACATTACGAGCCATGCGTTGATTATAGATGGGGGGATTACTGAGTCTACTGGAACAGGCTTTGTACAATCATAGAGAAGACGGTAGAGACGAATGTTAAAAGGCACGAAGCACTGGCATGATCCCCGGTTGTTCTGGCGTCCTACGCTACCTCTAGATATCGCTAACCCTCAATCAGTTCCAAGAGAATGAGTTCGTGGTCATCCGCTGTAGAGATCGAAAAGCGCTGTCGAGGCATGCGGTGCAAAGGTCCAGGACTTTGTGGCTGAAGATCATGCCATGGAAGTTTGGATACTGTGCTCAATAGAAATGATGCAGCTCTCAACGCCGAGGAAGTGTACAATCAATATATTCTACTCGTCCTGTTTTCCTTGCGTTTCGATCTCCAATCTCGGAATCCTTGAAGAACACTTCTCCGATTCTCCTTTCCATTGGTCTGCTCAACCCTAACCCCATAGAGTAGAGTAGGTGCTTGCGTGGGCTTTGGTATGCCTTCGAGTGCTTCCTGAGTCTGTTGTAGTTCTTTGTTCCTGTCAGACTCTTCTCCAGAAGCTCTGATGATACTATCTACCCTCACACTTCCAGCACTGGATGTCGAAAGTGCTCTGCGGACAGGTGCGGGATGAGTAGAAGGCACGTTTTCAGGACTAGAGTCGCTTTCCTCGGAAACTCTGGTTCCAAATTCCGGCCGGGCTTTGCGCACCTTTCGAGATCTTGTCAACTCGGGTGCACTGAACATTCTCGGTATCTTCGACCATCTATCGTTCGGAACAGCAGGTACGATATCGTCTTGATCATCTGAGAGTTCACCAGGAGGCTTGAGTTGTTCCTTTCGCCACGACTCAAGTTTAGAAAACCTTTCCTCGGCCATTGTCTTACAAGTCTCGATGGTCATCCTATGCCGGTCGCAGGCGGTGTTCTTGTACAACAATGCGAGTCGGAAGTGTAGCTCTTCGTAGAGAGGGTCTTCGGCGTAGAAATAGAAAGCTTGAAATGCTTTACAGAGGCTGTCGTAGTTCGATGGTGGTCGAAAGCAGCCTTCACGGTCTCCAAATACACAGACATTATTGTTGCCCATATCCAATATGCCCAGTCGAAGGAACAGGTCAATCTTCGGACCATCTAGCCAGTTCTTAAATTCGTAGTAGTCAAAAAGATTGCGCACGACCTTTTCGCTCGTCATCTGTAATAAAGACTGCATCGAGTCGACTTCTTCCCGGCAAGAATCCTTGCTGGCTCTCGGGTGGTGGTTGGAATGATCGCTGGAGGTTCGCTCCGGTTCCTCGGATGGCGACTCCATTATAACATGCGTGATATCTGATGCTGCGTGGAAGTCTGGACTCTGAGCCTGCGACATGGCTTTGAGACAAATAATGCTTTTGCAGCTGACAAGACAATTTTGTCTGAAGGAAAGCGAGAGACAAACATACCTGGTCGCAGTCGCACATGCTTCCGTTTGTTGCCAGACCGACATTGAACTGAAGTCGACCGCATGTGCCTGCCTGTTGACTGATGCAATGTGAGGTGTCTACTCTGTGCCGTGTGTCACGGCTCTGTCTGCGAGGTGCAGAATGTCTTCGTCCTTTAGAAGTGATTCGCATGATCCTGGACTGAATCTGTCGTATAGGCGCAAAGTGCGCATACCAAGCCTCCTCCTGCGATCAAAGGGCGAACAGGTCCATTGAACATTCGCGTCTCCTCACGTCGCTCACGGGATGAAGTTGCCCGGTTCCTTGCTCTTGCTAAGCTTGCCGATACTTCATGTCGGCAGAATGATCATTCCATTGGGCTCACGAAACTGGTACGCAGCCATGCTTGGGTCGTGAGAAGAGCTTCGGTCTTACAATGAAGTTGGTGTGTTCTCCAGGAGTTCGCTGCGTATTTAAATCCATTAGTTCAGAACTGCCAAGCCTCCAGTGACCGACAGTGAAAGCTGCCCCACCCTTGTCACATGCGTTTACAACCCTGGCATAGCAACCAACCAGACCCCTCGTTAAACGAACTATACGAGGCCTTGAGAGCTGACCTGTACACCACACAACCCCGAGATCACGATGGCGGACGACGAACTCGCCACGAAAGCTCCAGAGAGCGATGCTCAGGAGGACAAGCAGAATGAGAAGGAAATACCTGGAGACTCAAAGGTCGACCAAGGTGCAGCCAGCATGGGCGTAAGCTAGGAGTCAACACCAACTCCCACACATATTGATGAGTTACAGGAGCACTGCACGACCGATCGACCGACCCGTATGAGAAATGAGACTCCGAATGTCAGGAACAATAGCTGACCTCGAATCTAGCGGCGGGAGAACAGCCTACTGGAGTACGATGCATGAACTAGAAGTCCAGAACATATACTGAGCTTGTTCAACAGGAGATCGCAAAGTACAATGATGTCGAGACGTATATCGCGAAGCCGGCCGACTATCCTCATTCGCCATCCAAGCTTCTGTTACTCCTGACACCAGGCACTGGAATCCATTCGACCAATAATCAACTGCAAGCAGACAAGTTCGCCGCTGAAGGATTCTTGGTCGCTATGCCGGACCAGTGAGTGGTGATGATACAATATGCATGTTTGCAGTATTCTAACTATTGTAGATTTGCAGGCGACCCAGCAACCTCAGCTTCCAGAACGAGCACCTCCACAGCCGAAGAGAAACCCAGCATGATTGAACAAGTAAAGATGGGTATAGCATCAGTCGCCAAAAGCTTCACTATCGATATGTGGCTCGCAAGACACACTCCTGAGAAAGTTCTACCGCTTCTTCGAAAAGCCATCGATGGTATCAAAGAGGAGTTCGCGGACGCTATCGCCCATGGAGGTGGAATCTATGCTGTTGGATACTGTTTTGGAGCAAAATACGTCTTGCTCTTGGGCTCTGAACTTCACGCGGATGTCGTCTCTGGACAGAGCGAGGCAGAGCAAGGCATAGTGGAGAAGGGACCTCAGATCAAATGTGGTGCCATTGCCCACGGAACACAAATCACAGCGGCAGACCTCGAAGGCTGCCAGACACCGCTGTCGGTGGTTGCTGTGTCAGAGGACAGCTTATTCCCAGATGAGATTCGTGAGGCTGGAGTCAAGAAGTTGAAAGAGAAGGGAGTTGAGATTGAGGAGAAGGTCTATCCTGGCGTACCTCATGGCTTTGCCGTGTTGGGAGACTATGCTGATACTGCGATTCGAGAGAAGCAGCGCGATGCTTTCCAGCAGATCCTGGAATGGCTCAAGTCGCACTAAGACGATCGCGAAGGGGAGTTTGAACGAGTCACGGCGAATAGAATAACAAGAGATTAACGATGAAATGAATGAGGGCATGACCGATCGAGTCTTCAGCTGCAGGACGCACGTCCAGTACTCGCCATCACTCGGCAACAGTGCGACCGAATCACATTATCGCAAGAGCTCAACAGCCAGCTGGGCTAGTGCACCCGATCGATGCACTTTATGGCTTTCTTCCCATGTGACCGTATATGGAGCAGGATATATTATTTCACCACAGACTGAGATGGGATCCGCTCTCTACTGATGCATCCTCCTGCGACCTTCGTCTCATGCTCTTTCTTCTCTGTCATGCCCATTCCTTCATAGAATCAACACACGCATAGCATCGCTCCCTAACGCCATAATAGTCGCCTTTCTTCTACGCACCATCGCCCCAAATCCCGATCACACTCATCGTCAAACCCAGTCCAGAGACAGCGGTGCGGATAAATTCGAGTCTCTGCTGATCTCTCGCTCTCTTCTCCACCTGCTCGCCGTTGACCTCGCCAGTCTCCCGCTTGGCAACAGGAGACTTCGCGTCCCTGTCCATCAATAGGTTAAGCGCTCCGCCTGCGCCTGCGACCAGTGCCGTCCAGAGGAGATAAGGGTGTCTGATCCGCGATGGCGAAAGTGCGAAGGCAAGGAGAAAGCTGGCCGAGGACAGTGTAGATAGCGTTCGGATGTGCAGGGTTGCGAGGCGAGTGGTTTGGTTCAAAGTGTATGCGGCTGGCTTCGCGGAGGGCAGAGTGAGTAGGCTAGGGAGTGATTGGGTCGATAGAGTGTATGATACGCCCTGGGCATTGAGTCAGTGGAGTGTTTTTGATTTCTCAGATATGGATGATGCATACTGTGAGCAACCCAAGACTGATCGTACCGACGAACTTCGCTAGGCTGATGGCGGATGGCATCGTGGCGATATACGTGAGGAGGTCGTGTCAATGCTGCGCGAGATGGTATTGTGACAATGCGACAAAGCTTGGTGGTGCAGTGTGTTTGTCTTTGATAGAGGTACCAGATGGAGGTATCACTAGAATACTGACGTCTCTCCATCTCGCTACTCCACCTGCCCGCAAGGGTCAGCTCCCACCGAGCTACTCGGCGCCAATCTTTGCTCTCCTATCTGCACACTACCACGACCAACTTGTTTCGGCTTCAGTATGCGTCCTGTGGACTTCGGCTATGACTGGCTTGGGTGTCCAGAAAGAATGCTGCACCACCACGCTGCAACTCGCGCACAAAGCAGGTATCTCAAACACATGACGCGAGCATAATGCGGACGCGTTGGAAAACAGTCCAAAGAACGTCCGTGTAACGAGGGCAGCGTCTCATTACGACAGTAACCAAGACTGGCCGCGGAAGATGGCAATAGTGATGCATGGACCAGCGAGGAGTAGAGATATTCATCTTTGCGACATCTTCACATGCATTGTAAAGGATCCTGCCATTACGGAATGTCCAGTATAGGCAAAAATGGTACTCCGGTACAGTCTCGACAAGGGCGCCAACGCTCTCGCTATGAGTTGTTCGAGAGACTACGATAGGCCGGTTCACGAAAGAGCTCATGGCCGACGTAGGAGCTCGCGGCCGGGGAGCTGTGTTCTTGCTTATGGTATCAGTATCGGATTTTCCAGGCTCTGCGCAGTCTTGCAAGAAGATAGGCAGTGAAACAACAGCATCCATATTGAGACACCATGAATTGGCTATGTACGCCGAGTCTACCGTCCGCGAGAATACTCCCCAAGCTGATGCACCAAACAGCAGCGATCCTATTTCTCCTCCTGGTGCTCCCGCTGCACCGATTGATCATTTATCTTGTAGACAAGAAAGGACTGAGGCGATTTCCAGCACCATCCATAGCGGGTGTCTCATCTCTCTGGCGTATCTGGCACAACCAGAGGTTCAATCATTATGAGGCCGTTCATCAGGCTCACCTGAAGCTTGGTAGCCATGTTCGCATCTCTCCAGACCACATTTCCATCAGCGATCCCAGAGCAATACCGGATCTTTATGCTCACGGCAAATATATGGAGAAAGCCGCATGGTACGATGCCATAGCAGCTCCAAATGCGAGGAACATGGTCGACGCTCGAGAACCTGAGCACGGGTTCAAGCGAAAACTGCTCGCGCATGCGTTTGCTCCAAAGACGATATTGGATCTGGAACCTGTGTTCCACCGTGTGACTGCCAATCTCTTCGCATACATGACCGAGATGGAGAAAGCCGGGGAGGCTGTCAACATGAAAGATTACCTGAACTACTTCACGATCGATGTTCTAAGTGAGCTTGTCTGGGGCAAGTCCATGAATTGCATACCAAGGCGTACAGACATGGTCGACATAGGCTTGATAGGTGGCAGGCCCGCTCAGGCTCCTTTCGTGTCGTCTGTTTACCAGATGCAGTTGGTCAACACAATGGTTGGATTTAATTCTTCCCTGACGCTTCAGCTCAAGAAGTGGCTCACCCGATTCCATCCATATCGCAAAGGCGCAATCGATTTTGATCGGGTCATCTCATATTGGACAAACATGAGGCAAGAGAGCGAGGAGTCTCCTTCTGATCTCTTCTCCAAGCTCATCAGTACTTCGAAAGGAGAACCCACCCGCTTGACTCAAGCTGAATTGCTAACAGAAGTCAATCTTCTGATGTCGGCAGGAACAGACACTTCGACAGCTGCTTTAGAGAATACGGTCTTTTTCTTGTGCAAACATCCTGAAATCCAGAACAGGCTTCGCAAGGAGCTCGATGATGCAATGACTGAGCCAGGAATACCCAGCTGGCGTACGGTGTCTAATATACCATACCTACGAGCTATCATCGACGAGTCGCTTCGACTACGAGCAGCATCGCGGATCGGCCTGCCACGAATCGTGCCACCTGGAGGGCGGGTGATCGCCGGTCAGTACATACCGGGTGGCGTGACAGTCTCGGTGCCTATCTATACAGTACACTTGGATCCTGAATACTTTGAGGAGCCGGAGAAGTTCAACCCAGATAGATGGATCACGGGTGACAAAGTGAAGATGAACAAAGCCTATATGCCTTTCAGTATCGGGCCGAGAGCATGCATTGGCCGCAACATCGCACTGTTTGAGCAATTGATCTTGATCGGTGCTTTGGTCAGCTCGTTTGAACTTCGGCTTGCGGATGAGACGCTGGAATTAAGATGCCTCGAAAGATTCAATGCGTGCTCGGATGACCTGTTCGTGTTTGGTCGGGGGCGATCTCGCGAGGCTATTCCTGCGTAACGGGCAGACAGTTCCTCCTTTGCCACGTTCGGATTCTTCGTCGTTGACCATCTAGCTCATTCGACTTCAACCTTTCAGTTCTTCTGGAACAATGCAAAGCGATTGCCATAAGGGTCACGAAACTGCATGAAGGTGCCACCAGGGCCTGCTGGCGTTTTATCGAGAGCCTCGGTGCCCCCCAATTCTACGACCTTCGCAGCAGCCCGATCAAAAGCTTTAGTCTCCATATGCGAATGCTTCAACAAATCTGCTTACCTTATCCAAATCTCCCACGACGCAGTTGACTGTCATTCATAGACCGAGCTCTTGCGGAGATGGATCGCCTGGAACTCCGACAATGCCACCACACACGCCTGCAGCTATCAGTCAAGCTGTCAAGTTCCTGGCAAGTCGAGACGTGGAAGTGGACGGACTGGGTCACCACATGGATTGGCGAAGAATGTCCACGATGGGAAGAGCGAGTACTCTCATTACCTCACGTTCCATTACACCGTCCAAGCTACCATCAGTCCTTCGACTAAGCATGCAGCTTCCCTCCTAACTCATCACAGGAACAAGGCTCCAGGCACGAACATCAGCTTTCACCTCTTCCTACTGGATACCACGCGAGAAACTGCTCACCGTCTGAATACCGCCAGCTTCGATACTGTTACTGTTCGAAAAGCCGGCAAAACATTCATCGCGGCCTCAAACTTACAAGGGAACGAAACAGGAGATCCAAGCTTCAAATGACAATGTCAAACGGATTCTCGGTCTTCAAACCCGATCGTCAATTCACGTACAGATCCGCGATGCTATGAAGCCTTCATGAACATTGCCTGTACGCGATACCACAACACCCGCCTCACTCGCTCGGCTTGATATACTTGATCGATCTCCCACCGCCAAGATCCCTCTGACACCCCACATAATAAGTACTCAGACTCCTCTCTGCTTCGCCCTCACATTCCTCTCCAGAATAGATGTTGATCATCCCGCCTTCGAAAGGTTGAGCGTAGATTGTCAAAGAGCCGATTCCTGCTTCCGGAACCGTGTAGCACTCGCCTGATTCGAGACTTCCGGGATAGCCTCCTGAGAGGATGCTGCACATGGAGTCTGAGTTGAGGCTAGGAGGGAGATGTGTTAGATCATGTGGCCCTGTGGGTTGTGTGGGAGATGTGGTATTTACCTGACGCTGAGTGACTCTGGTGCTGTTGTGGATTGTGGAGCTGGAGCTGCTGATGCAGAGATTGCTGCGATAGCAATGAGCGCGAGAGAACGCATGGCGTGCATTTTTCTCGGAATGTGCGTTGCTGCGAAATGGAAAGTCGGGTGAGATGGTTTTGTTTGATTTGTGTGGTAGTGACAGCTGGCAGTTCAAGTTGAGTGGGTGTCTTCTTTAATAATGGTGACTCTCTCACTACAAACCCTCGATCCTATTATATGATCGTGAGGATTTTTTCCTGTGCGACGGAAATAGGCACAAAGGTACATGGCATCATGACTGTCGATACGACTGTTCACGTTCCTTCGCACCGCGATGAGGCAACGTGATGGCAGCTGCGCTTTTCGGGCTTTGTGCTCGATCACTCGTTGGACACCGCGGGAGGGTCGGGAGCCAATCATGCGATGATTGTGGTGTCACTGCTGCAAGGCTGAAAGCGCGGAGGAAGTGGTTGGCCTTTGTCGATCGCGGAGGAATGAGGCTGAGCGGTTACACTGGTGAAGGCAGCCGTGACCCTTGCACCACCTCTTACTCGTCCCGACAGGTGAAGTGCGTCATCAGAAGTATTCTTAGATGATGAACATTGTGGTACGAGCACAGAAATCATGGATGTTTGAGTGGGATGTTGTCCTTGCCTGTTGCCAGTTCCCACTCTCCTGCGCAGTTGATTAGCATTGGAAGCCCTCGGAGCAGTGACATTCTGCGAAACATACCACAAGGGCCACTCGCTTCCACGGTACACTTTTGTGCTCGACCAGACAGACCTGTGACTTGAAGGCCCACATCAAGAATATTCTGAATGATCTCTCCCATTCCATGATTCCATTCCACCGTCTTTGTGTTCTCGAAGACCTTGCTACCGACATCGACGATCTTCAGTATCCTCCTCTCCTATGGACCACAGAACCGGGTGACCTTCCCGGAGGAAGAGACGCCCGCCAGGTTTGAGCAGCGCAGCGACAATCTCAGCACAGCGTCTGATGGAAGGCAGCCAGCACAGAGCACCTATGCCAGTGAATGCCAGATCAAAGCTGCCTGATTGCAACACTGACAGCGCGTCATATGTGCTCGCTTCAACAAATGACAATTGGTCACCTCCGATTGCGTTCGCCGCTAAGTGCCTTGCTTGCTTCATCTATGCTCGCTGCCAATGGCGCATCACGGAAGATACCTCAATCGCACGCTCATTCCAGTTGGCCTTGTTATACTCAACATATTCTTCTGCCATACTCGCAGGATTCCCGTCGGCCTGTGTTCTGCTCAATCGGGAAGTCGTTCGAGCAGGCTCAGTAGCGATAGTCTCGTCGCTTGTGCTTTCTCTTCTTTTTCTTTGCCAGCTCCTCTACCTTTTCTTCCGCTTCTTCCACTTTCTCCTTGACCTCGTCTTTATAGAAGTATCCAGCAGCGAGTAATACTCCGATGAGCCCTAAAAGTGCAAACTCCCCTTTGCCGGGGTTCTTGATGATTGGAGAACTCCCCATGACTGTGAGAGCGAATGCTGCTGCTGACTCGCTTGCGGTCAGGCGATAGAGGGAATCGAGTGCGTTGGCAAGAGTGAGTAATGCAGCACGAGGAATAAGACAACCAATACGGGAATTTTGTACAAGTCGCGCATTGGGAAGCCTCACTTATCTACACCCGAGATCCATGTCTGAACACGTCAAGCACGCAACATAGAGTTTCGAGATACTGTTTCGCTTTCTCAGCTCAAAGCCTGCCTCGCCTGCTTTATTACCTGCCAAAGGTGGTTGGGATCAGGCTTCCTGCCGTCTCTCTTGCCGATCGATGCCGGAACACGAGCATCTCCGTCTGCTCTCGCATTCGCTCGCAACGAGTGCCATGCCGGGAATGCGTTGCTGTGCTATGCAGATGGAGAGCTTCGCTACAACTTCATAATAAGGCTCGAGGTCGTTAGGGAAGTATTGGTGCTTGCCAATAGAGCGTTTTAGCCACTTGTTACGCCTACACCAACACCTTCAGGTGGGTCCACGGATATAGTCGTACGAGCCGTCGGAATAGCTCTATATAGCAATGAACCGTGCGTTTCCGAGCTGTCTCTTTCTAGTCGCGTATAACCGTATAGATATCGCGTTTTCGAGGCGCGCCTAGCTTCGAGTATAGGCTAGAAAGGTAACTGCTTTCGAGGTGTCGCAAACTCGCTAGTATAACGCCGAAAGACGAAGAGATATTAATCTTTATCGTTCTCGTAGTAATAGTATTCGAATTAGATAAGCCGCCGCGGTAGAAACGAGAGCTTACTAAGTACGAGTTCTTCGAGTAGATACTAAATAGCTAGCCGAAGTCGTAGTTTCCGCTATACTATAGGTACGTAGAATATTAGTATAGGAAGTTAAGTTAGAAGTTAAAGTATAGCGGCACCTCGTCGTCGCTAAGCTAACTAATAATATTACCTTAGGTTTAGTAAAGTCTAGGTTAAGGAACTAGTAGAGGTATTAGATATTGCTACTATTAACTTCCGTAATAGCATTAAACCGAGCCTAGAATATACGCTCTATATAGTATTATAGCGCCTTACCTAGCCTTCTCGATAGGCTATCGCCTACCCTCTTTTTAGTAACTACGAGTCGTACCTAAGCATCGTCTTTACGAATACAATTAACTATCTCGTACGGCGCTTTAGATATCTTATCGAATAGCACCTACGATTACGAAGCTATAGTCGCCTTAAATACTTCGCTAAGGCAATAAGAAGAGCTAGCTTAGGAGGGTAGATTTAGAGCTTCGTTAATAGTTATTTTTAAGGATTCTATCGACCTGCTATCGGTTAGAGAAAGTAGTATTCTAGGCATAAGAAAGAGCATAGTAGCAAGTACTAAGGCATTGTTATACCGGACAGCATTATATCTTTAATAATAGGGCTATATAATAGCTCTAACAACGATTAGGAGATATATAAGACTTTAGGCGTTATACGCTAGCTTCGAAGAATAATAGACTCTCGTACCGGCCGTAGAATGCTATATCTTTATAGTAATCTAGCATACTATAGTGCCTTCGGAATAATAGCTCCTTATAAGCATTATCTTAGCCGCAAGATGCTTACTACTAAGTAACAGAAGTTTAATAAATACCTCGCTAGTCTACGTATTTCCGTCGAGTACGTATTTAGTTAAACTATACGCCTTTAGATATATAACACCTTTGCTAGGCAGCTATATATAGGCAAGCAGGCAGTTAGAGCCTTTATAATAGTCGGTACGCTATTAACTAACTACTATATTTGTATAGAAGGTTATAATTAAACGAGCGAGAAATACCTAATAAAGCCTCCGGACCTCTACGAGTACCTAGATATCGACAATCTATACGACACCGACTCGGAGAGCGATTAGATTCGCTTTACTATAGCGTTTACTATAAACAACCGAATAGCGGGGTCTATTAACGTCGCCGCTATATAAACGAGGCATACTCGTCGCCTTTCGAAGTCGTAGAAGTCGCATTTGCGGAGATCGCCGGAGGTGCTAAGAAGTTTATATAGAGATACTAAAACTTAGATTTAAAAATTTATTTTATAATATATATATGCCACATAATAAAACTAATTATAGGAGGTGTTTCGCTACTATCGAAAGTATATCTCTAATTTATTTACGCCTTATATACCGAATGTTAACTATATTGTCGTACTATTCCTAAAGCTAAGGTAAGCTTCTTAGATCGGCGGACCTAAGTCGAAGTTTGTTAGGACTAAAGAGGTTATACGTAATTGGTATATAACCGGGCTCGAGTAAAGCTAGGGTCTTAATGCCTTAGGCAGGGCTTAGCGCTTAGTAGTAGGCTAACTAGCCTGCCTTCCTCCTTCTCCTCCTAGTTCTCTATCGAATACTACACTAATTTACTACTACCCTATCTACCTGCTAATATAACCCTTCTTATATAGTATTCGATCTACCCTTTAAGGGTAGTAGCTAGATAGTCCCTATTTTAAGCTTTTAGCGGTATAGTTACGAAAACTATCGATTTAACTATATTACGCCTAAAGAACGGGACCTATACGTACTATTCTACTAAAACAACCGTACTAATTATTAAGCAAGGCCTTCTATACGGCCTATTACACTAAGTTAAGCATATTAGACCGATACCTACTAATTCCGCTATATCCGTATCTTAGGGGCTAATAATATATTATTAGTACTACCCCTTATAATAGCCGGTTTATTACGAAACAACAACCGTACTACCGCTAGTAGCGCTAGCAACGACAACGCTAGTAGCACAGTGCCTACTAAAGTGCCTACTAAAGCACCTACTAAAGTACCTGCTAAAGAGCCTGCTACTAGGCCTACTAAAGAACCTATAGTTCTAGGTAATAATCTAGAATTGCCTATTAACGACATTCTTAACAATATTATTAATCGACGATATAGCTAACTAGCCTTCGGGCCCTAGCCGATAACGAGACTTTAAGAAGCTACTTAGAACAGGCTTACTGCCTTACGTTAAGAACAATAGCTAAGGGATAACCTCCTCGAAATTCATCGCCTATAGGAAGCCTTAGCAACTAATGCTAAGCTAATAGCAGGACCTTCCTTACTAGCTATTTAAAAGAAGGATACTAAACTTAAGAATTGTACCGTGTTTAATAGCTCTAGCCGCAAGTAGTATAATAATTATATACGTAATTGTGAATTAAACTAGCGGAATGCACTAAGGGCCCTGCTAGATAACTATTTATTAGTCGTCTACGCTATACAATACATTAATAGCGACCTAAAACGCACCTAGGATAACTATTTTAACTCTCTTAATAATTAGACCGCTATTTAATAGCAAGACTACAAGACTATTATATTAAATACCCTTAGTAACCCTATATTGCGCTAGTAGCACGCCTAAGACTAATACCTACGTACTAAACAAAAGGCCGACTAAACCTCTCGATCCTTCGAGGCCTATCTAAAGACCCTTAAGGACGATTTGCTACCTAAAACCGACTCTATCTAGATATCTAAGATACGACCTAAACTAAGATAGGAACTAGTCCTTAAATTAGACCGCCGCCGTATGTTTAAACAGGCTAACCTAATACGTATTTAATTTATAGTCGAAGTAGAAACAGCCGAGCGGGCTGTTTAGCTCTAGTAACGACTAGAATCGAGGATCCGACTAGCTAGCACTAACCGCGGCAATCGTAGTGCCCGCGGAGGCAATAGCTAAGGGTCCTACTAAAACAATAGTACTAACAATAGGAATAGTAACGACCGCGGAAGAGGTCGTAGCCGACGGCTATATAGAGGAGGCCGTAATAGGGGCCGTAGAAGGGGCTCGTATCCCTATAATGCTAACCGCTCGACTAACAATAGTAGCAACAATAGCTACGGTAACAATCTCCCGACTAGATTAAAGTGCTTTAACTATAATAGCACTAGCTATCTACTAGGCTAATGCGACAAACCTAAGGACTAGGCCCGAATCGACCGTACTACCGCCGAACACCGAAAGCACCTTTTAGCAGCTAACGCTACCCCTATAGGCTAACCTTCTTATTAGTCGAAAAAAGAGTAAGCGCCGCACTAACTATTAGCCTTATGCGGCGTAAGAC